TACCTTCCATACCAAAGATTTCGACCTCGAGACCCTGCCTATTTGGAAGAGAGTTGTCGACACTTGCCAAAGTTTCCTTATGCACTTGATTCATATGAACGGAGAGTCCTGCGGATTGCCGGTTAGCTTGAATTAGGTGGTATATGTTCAGACCAGAGATGGCATACCTCCAGCAGTGTTCAATCGTCGACCACATCGTTCGCATTTGAAATGCTTGGCTTTTTGATGAGAAATGAGAATTTTCAAATCGTCGAAATCGCGTTCACCTGTGAAGGGAGAATTGTTAGCATCGCGATTGTGCGATGATGGCTATGGTGGCGATACTTACAATAATAACACCAAGGGCGCGCCAGTAACTCCTCGATGTCGGGATGGCCGCGCTTCTTTTTCCCAACCATTGTATTGATTGAATTAGAGGTGTACTGAAAGGAGAAGTGTCTTTGAAAAGAGAATTAATGATAAAATGGAAGGCTTAGTATTAAGTAGATAGGTGATTACAAGAAGCTGCAAAAAGATGAAGCTGGCGGCTGGCTGGTTTGATAGATTTCGTGTTTCGGCAAATGGCCTTTCCGAATCCGAGATTGGTGCCATGGTCACGTGAGACTTCAGAGCTTGGACCTTTTCGTGCGCAAAAATAAATTTTACTTTTTTCTCTCCGAACATCTGAACTTCAACATGAAAGTATCGTCGTATTTCATCTCAATGACAACGAGGAACATCAAAGTCTCGAGGGTGCACACATCCAAGTCTGATATCTACTCGATGCCATGCCATGCCATGAAGGAGTACATTCTTTAACTACGGGCCAAGGTAAGTCAATGTGTAGGATCGAGGCGCAGTGAGTGAAAGAGAGCGTTTTCTCATCCGGCTCCAAATGCCATAAACAATAGCAATACCTTGATCAATCACTCAGCCTTCATTGGCACTCATAGATGAGACTCTTCTCTGAAGAGCCTTTCAATATCTTCGCGTCTTGTGTCGAGATTGAATGGAGGTTGAAATAAGGTATGATCTTTCGGGATTATACCTTCACAAGAGGATATATTGCAAGACTAATCAAAGGACCTTCATAGTCCATACTCCTACTCTTCATGAGAGCCCTACAGGAGTGTGGCTCCTTGCGTACCTACATCTTACCACCAAATAATATTAATGTTTGACATTGCCTACCAGAATGCTCATAGACGACATGATTCCCCGAGTGTATAGTGACTATGCCTTCCTTCCGCCTTGCTACTGTGCCAATGTCGTCTCGGGACACAGTCAGTCGCAAATTTCTATAATCTGGATTATCAAGATCATTCTCGAAGTTTCTAACTTTATGGCATGTGAGATTACAATTCCTTCAAAGATCAAAGAGAGAGACTACAATGCTTGTTTTGCACATCACTCTTGAGCTTGTTGAATAGGTGTTTCCATCATGGCTTACACAACATGTATTCTGTTGAGCCCCTGGAACCTTTACCGAGAAGTCATCTGCTAAGGTAGTCTTTAATGAACAAAGATTTGGGAATAGCTTCAGATACCTAGTAATCAAACTTTCTCACTGTTATCCTAAAGATACGCAGATGTAAAACATGTTTAATCCTTTATAACCGACCGTGCACAGCGATTGGATCACACTGAGCCCTGCCAAGACATAAGGTCAATCATTGGAAGAAGCGGCGGGGTGGATCTAATTCATTGAAGCTTATGCTCTATTAGGCAAAGTCAGTAGCGGGATTGAGAAGTGATTAAAGCTAATACGATAAGAACTCTCATCTGTTTTGATGCAAGGACTGAGGGGGATTGTTGATAGTAAAGATTCAACACAGGAGTGCATAATATCGACTTCGCTAGACAACAAGTTCCTTCAATGTAACTTTATAGAATGACGAGAATAGTAAGAGGGATAACATAAAACTAATCGGCGTAAATGATGTATTGTCTTTATAGCTCACACACCATCTCGTCTCCAATCATCAAAGCACAATCGAAAAACATTGCCCGGGTTCTGGAATGAATAGCTACGAAGTGAATCCGAGAGCTAATTGAGAAATCCAAAAATATCAACCACAACTACATTATATTGGACGTACGTTTAATAATCTCCATTCTTTTTGATAAGTATAAATCGTATGCACCATACTAATTCTCTATATTATCTAACAAATCCATATGAAATCAAGCTTTCCAACCCTTCGGTACTTTTTCCCTTATCCACAACTTCAAATGTTCCAACTTGTGCCAAGTAACGTCATCCCGTAGATTAGAACTTTTGTCTACAATGCAACATCGGAAATACATCATCATAATGTGGAAGTTCGACGTGTTGAGGTCACAGACCTACTTCTCTTCTACATATAATACATATAGCCCAGTGAATTTAATGATTCTTAATATGTTCTCCATTCTTCAATCGCCATCTTGCCCTTTATATTAATTGTATGGCTCAAGCCTTGAAACGAAATCTGAATCCTCTCAAATACAGCAATCTTACATTAACCCCACATACCAACTACCTCCGAAGCACTTCATTGATTCCAAGACGGCAAGCGATTATGTCTTCCGATAACCCTTCCCTTCAGAGAAACATCTCCTCTGTTCACAAGCGCACCAAGCCAAATGAAAAACATCCCAAATTCGGACATCTACCTCTCAGTACCAGTGGTCCTCTAGAATGTGCTCTAACGGGCACTGCACTTCTAAACACACCTTACCTCAACAAAGGTGCAGGCTTCCCAGCAGATGAACGTAGAAAGTTTAAGTTGACGGGATTATTGCCGTCAAATGTCTCGACTCTGGATCAGCAAGTTAAGAGGGCTTATGATCAGTATAGTTCAAGATCAGATGATTTGGCGAAGAATACTTTCATGACTTCGTTGGCCGATCAGAATGAGGTTCTATACTACAGAGTAAGTTCTTCATCTTTCTCCAATAACCTCCGTCTCACACCTGACTGCTCCCTTCGGAGGATGTATGTCTCGAGGGGTTTGAACGATCACGTGTGAAAGGCATGATCATGAGAACCTGTTCTCTAACTTCAACCCAGTTGATCCAAGATCATATGAAGGAAATGTTCTCCATTATCTATACACCAACAGAAGGCGAGGCGATTGAGAACTATTCTAGAATATTCAGAAGACCTGATGGTTGTTTCCTGAATATTGATGATGCAGATCGAATTCATGACGATTTAGCGCAATGGGGTGGACCAGAAGATATCGACTACATTGTTGTTACCGGTATGTCAAGTACTGCCAAATTAGCTACAACATTACTAACAATTTATAGACGGAGAAGAAATTCTCGGAATCGGAGATCAAGGAGTCGGTGGTGTCTTGATCTCAGTTGCAAAGCTAGTTCTCACCACACTCTGCGCTGGTATCCACCCAAATCGTACACTTCCAGTTGTCTTAGATTGCGGAACCGATAATGAGAAACTTCTCAACGATGATCTATACCTTGGTTTGAAGAAGCCTAGAGTGAGGGGCAAGGAATATGACGATTTTGTTGACAAATTTGTTCAAAATGCTAGAAAACTTTATCCTAATGCATATATCCATTTTGAAGATTTCGGACTTCCAAATGGTAAGAACGATACCTTTTACTGCAGCATAAGATACTAACAAGTCTATAGCCCGAAGAATCCTCGACCGATATCGTCCCGAGATGGCTTGCTTCAATGATGATGTCCAAGGAACTGGATGTGTCACCTTAGCAGCAATGATGGCCGGTCTTCACGTGAGCAATGTCAAGATCGAAGACACACGAATTGTGATCTTTGGTTCCGGAACCGCTGGAACAGGAATTGCAGATCAAATTCGCGATGCCATTGCAGCAGATAGTGGAAAGTCCAAGGAAGAAGCCGCCAAACAAATCTACTGTGTCGATAAGCCCGGCCTGCTTCTAAAGTCCCACGGTGACAAGCTTACCCACGCACAAATCCCATACGCGCGTGAAGATTCCGATTGGAAAGACAAAGACCACGGTGATCTTCTCCAAGTCATCAAAGAAGTCAAACCACACGTCTTGATCGGTACCTCCACAAAACCCAAATCCTTCACCAAAGAAATCATTCAAGAAATGGCCTCCCACGTCGACCGACCCATCGTCTTTCCCCTCAGCAACCCTACCCGTCTCCATGAAGCAGATCCAAAAGACATCAACGAATGGACCAAAGGCAAAGCTTTAATAGCCACTGGCTCACCTTTCCCACCCGTCAAATACGAAGATCATGAATACGAAGTTGCAGAATGTAATAACTCGACCTGTTTCCCCGGTATCGGTCTCGGATGCGTTCTCTCCCGCACAAAGCTATTGAGTGATAAAATGCTAGTCTCAGCCGTTAAAGCGCTAGCTGCTCAGAGTCCGGCATTGAAGAACCCGGATAAGGGACTGCTACCTGATGTTGCCGATGTTCGCGAGATCAGCGTACGTATTGCTAAAGAGGTAATCAAAACTTCGGTAGAGGAAGGTCTGGCACAGGAGAAGGGTATTCCAACAGAAGATGAAGATTTAGAAGAGTGGATTAGAGAACAAATGTGGGATCCAGTATACAGACCACTGAAGTTTGTGGAGAAGGAGACCGCGAGCAGAAATGCAAGTGGTAAGAGTGGAACTGCTGATTAGAGGTTGTCCTAGTTGCTTCTTCTGTGCTATTCTCTGAATTATAGATTCGATATGAGATGATAGATTAGATATTACTTTTTGATAATTAATTTGTTTCACCATGGACTGTGGCTCGTTGTGTATCCGCAAATGATATGATTATAATGATGGTGCAGAAGTCTGAGGGGTAACGTAGTCTTTACAAGCATGGTGCGGAATTTCAAAGTCCTTGGGCGCATGAAGGCTAGACTGCAATATTGTTACAGTAAACATGATGCATGATGATAAGTATTTCAAGTGCAGATTACATGGTATGATTTGGATTTCAGAAGTTACAATTCCATTTACTGGACCACCCTATCTATGATGGATAGAACGTGCGGTTGGAAATGTCATCATTCATCCATATCCTACTTTATTGGATACCGCATCGACAACATAAACAACACAGATACCCCAACCCAAATAGCTCCAGCTGTAGCCATGTCGCCTTGCTTAGAGTAATAATCAAAAATCATTGCTGCGCGGGTGCACAGAGAGTAACTGAGGCCACCAATGGGGATATGAATCTAAACTAGAATATTCACATAGAGAGACATTGAAGAGAAGACATCGTAAAATAGTATGAAGATGGCTTTTGGCAGAGTGGTTGATCAAGCCAAAAAGATTATGGCGAACTGTCACCACTAAAACACACGGATATTACAAAAATAGCAAAACCATTTTGAATATTGAGAGTGGGTTTCACACATTGAAACCTCATGTTCAACTTACCAGTTCAAACTGATGGATAGCATGAAAAGATGTGGAAGCATACTTACGCTGTGAACCTTCGACTTGAAAACACTTTTCTCGGCCGCAGCTTCTACATTTACCATAGAAGCATGTGCAGTGACGACATTGACGGTCAATTCACTGAGAGCCCTAAGATTATATTAGCGATACGGTAACAAGTATGATGGTGATGTAGACGAACTTTCCCGGCAGCCACTGCAGAGTCGTCGACTTCAGAATCAAGCCGACGATTGCCTCGGGGAGGCCTCAAAGTTCGATGAATCTAAAGTAAGAGATAAAAGTCGGCCAAAGTGCCTTGGCTCAGTAAGATCACCACCCTGTCAACCAACTGTGTGTGGCCAAGTCATCATTTCCATAGAACGCGGAGAGTTGTGGTGCACCGGTACCCCGTAAAAGCGCACCGTAAAGATGTGGACAAATGAGTCTTCAGTGGATGTATGCAAGACGGCACTCATTGAGTTTGGTCGTCTATCGAGGTGTGTTTAGTGTTTATCTTTTGAACCAAATTTGAAATCGATGCATCTCAATGGGATATCACGTGTATTCGAAGTCACCCTGACGGTCTTCACTCATGATTGGTCTAGGCTTTGAAAATAATCAAAAGTCATGCAAGGTTTGAGTGACTCGGGAATGTCTTTTTATGCTTGGGAGCCAACATGAATGATTCAGTGCTTCAATATTATTGATTTTTATTCTTCTTTCTAGTCGTATCCCACACCTATTCAATGCGTATTTGCGTTTCCATTATTACCCTTCACACAACTTAACCCTAATCTGTCCCCGAGAAACTAATACTCTTGCTAGTCTTCCCCGCTTGCGCAACATCCAACGCAACATTCGTCGCCAACTTCTTTTGCTGTGTTGCAAGTTCAGTCGCGCCTAATTCTTCATTAGCGTCATTCTCAACCCTATCCTCTACCCCAGAAGACACGGAAAGGGAGCAACTCACTCCCAGCATTTCCCTGTGCAGTCTGTATCTGAATCCTTAAAACATCTGTCTGTAATTTCAAAACCTTGTTCTTAATTTTTCCAACCTGCAACGCAGCACCAGCGGTAGAACTCGTTCCACCTGCAGCATCAATAGCATCGTTGAAACCACCAGTACCTACTTCAGCATCTTCGGAAACTTGAGCAGCTTTAGTTATTATAGCTAGATCAGCAGCGGAGACACCGGCGAAGTTTGAGGTGTCGATCTAGGGGTTTGTTAGGAATTGGGATTTTTGAAGATGGGAAATACCATGAGAGGATGGTAGAGAGAGTGCGTACAGGAAATTTGGCATTGACTTCCGCCAGAGCATCTCCGGCTACTCCGTCAGAAACTTGGAAGGTACTATAGTCTCCCGAAGTAAGAACACTAGCACTTGTGACTTTTGTGGTAGCACGTTTGGCTGTCTCGATTGGTGCCGCGAGAGTTGCTACCGAGAGCGAGAAGAGAATTGCGAGGTTCGAAAATTGCATTTTTAGTATTTATTGAAGATTGAAGGCTGGCCTCGAAGTAATTTTATGTATATAGATATCGATATATATGTAAAGACTGAATGAATAGAATTTAGAAACGAAACAATCTACAGCACAGCTGAAAAGAATGTAAGAATAGTAAGAATAGAACAATAAGTGAGATGGAAACGCAATGAGAAAATGGAAAACACAGTGAAAGAATGAAGTGAACTTATAATAAAATCATTGCATTATCACGTCAATTCATCTCATTTCACCAACAGACGAAAACTATCAGACGAACTATCAAGGCAGATTCACCCGAGACATCGGACTGCTTGGGCCAAGCGAGCATGAAATGTATCCGTCGAAATTATCTCATAGAAAACCGCTCGCATCACCTTGGCGATGAAATTAAGAGTCAGGGTGAAATAGAAATAGAATGTTACACTGGCAAGATTTTTAGAGACAGTTGATGTGTGAGATTCACAATAAGCTCCTGTTTGGACAAGGGTTCTTCAGGCGAAGGGGTTTTGCGAAACCCCAGGTTCTCCCCCTGAGATGTTTGGACTACATTATAAACTTTTGGCGCTAGCAAAGTTCGAATTTAACCGCAACGCTGAAAGCTATTCTGATTCTTTTCTGAGACCTTGCTATTCTTCCACCGACTTGAAATACCGAATATGTCGATACTACTAAATCCATCAATGTTCGAAAGACACATGAGCACCCCCGAAAGGTGAAATGAGATGATAAAATATTATGTTTTCTTTATTCATCATCAAAGTAGACGAGCGCACTTGCATATCCAGCAAATTCATGAGCTCATAACGATATGTATACAAAACAGGGTATCTAAACATTAAACAGCAAAAGACATGCCACAACAAGAACTTCATACCCATAATCAATATCTACTCCTCGCCCCACCCCCCTGATTTTCCTTCCATAAACAACAAATGCTCTTACTTTCACACCATTTCTTGACCTCTTTCGGAGCCACCTCCCCATCCCAACCGACTTTACCCAATGCTCCTGTATTCAGCCATGATGCTAAATCTTCCAATACAATAGGATCGTAAAGTAGTATTTTTTCATGCCAGCTTGGATTTGAGAGATCTTGTGATGGTGGGGCACTGGTAACTGCAGTATAAATATGAGTGAAAAGTTGTGCTTGTTGAGCCTCATCATCTTGATCATTTTTAGCAGGAGATAATTTTAGAGCTTTGGAAGCTTTCCGAATTTGAGATGGAGATCTTCGTGGCGGTGAAGGTGTCATAGGGTGATCAGAATCGGAGACATCTTCCATGGGTTGTTTTCCCTTCTTCGACTTTTTGGGTGTGCGAAGCTCGGAGAGAGGGGTATCACTGTCTATTTCCAAAATTGCTACTGAATCTGTAATTTTTGACTTCGCCTTCGACTTGGTAGTAGTAGTATCTTTGTTCGACCTTCCACGACCTCTCTGAGAAGAAGAAATACTAGGTTCGAGTTGTGTGGATGAACTGGCTACATCTTTAGAAATTTCCGATGGCCCTTGAGACGTGATTGGTATGTTACCCTGCAGGACACCCAAGGCCGGACGGTTCTGACTCTCAAAACACTGAACCAATAAATCAATCATCTTTTTACGACTTTTGATTTGTTTGAACTTATATTTCTGAATTTCCCTGGATAGTTGTGGCGTAGTAAAAGATTCATAGTCAGGCATCTTAGGGGCTGTAGTTTTTTTAGGAGTACTTTTGGTGACGGAAGCTTTGGTATTTTTCTTTCGTGGAGAAGAAGTAGAGACATCCCTGGAAGAATTCTTAGGTTGAAGAGGGCTGTTCGACAGTTCAAAATTGATGGCCATCTCAATCGGCCCCATTTGTCTCACTGGAACTTGAGTGGAAGGTGGTCGGTTATCTTCAATTTCATCAATATCGAACCACTCGTTCTTGGCAGGAGTTATCCATGACGATGAAGGTTTTTGAGAAAGTATTATTCTGTCCGGCTTTGCAACAGGCGTGTGTGCCAAGTCCACCGTCTCGATATCCATTAAATCCCCGTGATCATCACGCGCTGCAATGGACCAAAGGTTTCGCTTCGCAGCTATTACAGCCTTCGCTCTTTCGACTATCTTCGTAGGCGGCGAAATAAAAGGATCGTCGTAATCATCTAATTCATTCGATGCTTGCATAGCATCATGCAGGTCGCGTAATAATGAAGGTGAATCCTCTCTTGCTAATTGACTTGAAGTTCCAAATACAAAATCTTGGTTACCAACTTGCTTAAGCGCAGATTCTGGGGAGAGAAGGATTGGTTCTTCTGCGGAGCCCTTTTTTGATTTCGGTAATCCTTTTACTGGACTCTTTGACCTTGGTTTGGTGGGCATCTTGAAGCCATCACCTGTGAGTTCTCCAGAGGCTGCATTCGGGAAGTATTGAAGCAATGGCGCAGGAGCATTGTTAATGGTATCATCTTCTTCTGTTGTTGCATAAGCAGAAGTTGCAAGGTCCGTGAGAGTTCTGGCCTTTTTCTTCACAGCCTTTTCCTTTGCAGCTCTTGTACCAGTCACTGTAGGAATATTGGTATTAACCATCTCGATTAGTTTCCGTTTCCTTGTTGCAGCAGCTCCATTAGATACACCTGAGGATATCCGCTTCTCAATAGAATTTGCCTCACTACTGCTGAAACCAAAACTTCCCAATAGTTCTGTAAATCCTTGATTGGAGCTCGAGCCGCCAGCTTCTGGACTATCGTCATAGTCAACTAGAACTTGATTCGGTTTCGGTGGAGTCCAATTCTTTCTTCTCTTGACCGCTTCAGCTAAACCGAATCCTTCCTCTGCAAGTATGTCTTTGACGACAGGATTAGATGCAAAATGCTTGCTGACTTTATCAGCTTTGGGAGTTTCGGCCTTGTCCGGATTTGAGGCATTGGCGGTTTTAGTCACTCTACCCTTAGGCATCTTAGGTTGTGCAGTTGTGTCCCCGTCCGATTTCTTAGCTCGCGGCTTCCTTACTGCTTTCTCTTTTGGCACGGATTCACTTCCAGCTTCAACATCGGGTTTCTTCGCCCTGGGCTTACGCGGAGCTTTCTCCTTCACCCCCTCACCGGTAACATTATCAGCTTTCTTAGCTCTCGGTTTGCGCGCTTTCTTCTCCACTGCCGCCTTTGGAGCGTCTGGCACAATTGCACCCGTAATACCCTCATTCTCTCCGTCTCTTCCAAGATCATCCGCTTTCTTAGCTCTAGACTTTCGCGGTTTCTTTTCCGGCATTGTCTTCGTACCCTCTTCTCCCTGTCTCACAATTCCTTCTACGACTTCCTCTGCTATATTCTCATCCTTCTTCTTTGTAGTCTTGCGGGGTGCCTTTGTCACTTTCTCAATTGACCCATCTTCCTTCTTCGCAGTGGGGTTTCGTGGGGCTTTAGGTTTCGCAGTCTTCTTTTGTTCATTTTCATCATGTTCCGTGGTCGTCGCTAATGATCGAGCGGTATCAAATCCTTGCAAAGATCCAGAGGAACCTCTTCGTAATAAAGCTGACGCGCTCGTGAAAGTGGCTGTCGCGTCTAAGGGAATAGATGCAGCACCACTACCTCTTTGAAGGTTGGGCGCTTTCTTTTGCTTAATCATTTCATCCAAAGAAGGTAAAGGTGGTGAAGATTCACTGTAAGATACCGATTGTCGCGGCGGCGAAGAGGAAATAATGAAGACATCTGTAGTAGCCATATTGATACTGTTACATGAAGGGAATTTGCGCCAGGCACGGTGCCCTGAAAGCAGAAAGCGCAACACAGCTAATGGAAACTTTCATATGAATATAATGTGAACCTTCGAAGAAGTGCACCGATCCTTCAATTCATACTATATTGATAATTGTTGGTGGGCGCAATCTTCACTCTACAGAATCTCGATCTTTGTTTACGAATACGAATAAGCAATTCACGCCACTAGTTTGAAACCTGACTCGAAAAGTGCGCCAAGTCACATGTTCGACGATCCAAGCCTGCAATCAATGAGCCACATCACATCAGCCACAACAGCCTTGAATATATGGCTCCAAGTCAAAAAATCTCTCGCTTACCATAAACCCTCATTTTCCAAGCCCCACGATCGAATTCCAATTTCATTCAACCTCGACGACATCAACGCCAATTTAAGAAATCCCTAAACCTTTCTTCTTCTCACCAACCAACAAGTCGCAAAAATGGAAAACGACAAGGGAGAACTCGTTGATCTGTACGTTTTTACCAATTTTCGATATGCGCTCACAATTGTTGCGTTGGAAGGTCTTGAAAATGGATTCTAATGTTTAATTCTTCATACAGTTACGTTCCACGTAAGTGCAGCGCCACCAACCGTATCATCAAGGCCAAGGACCACGGATCCGTCCAAATCTCCATCGCAAAGGTTGACGAGAACGGACGCGCTACCGGCGAGAACCAAGTTTACGCTCTTTGCGGTTTCATCAGAGCTATGGGAGAGTCCGATGATTCTTTGAACAGATTGGCTCAACGTGATGGTTTGTTGAAGAGCGTCTGGAGTGGTCAATCCCAAAGATAAATTCGCACTATTCGGTTCTTTCGGTAGGATTTCCCTCGATTCGATACGATTTCGATATTACAATTGTTTAAATTCGGGACTGATTGGTTTGAATAGATTTGGGCAATTTTTCTGGCTGGGATACCTGGGAAGGATGGGGATTGAAGAAATAGAGGACGTACATCAAGTGAAGGAAGAATGAGCTTTATGGCCATCATATGCTGAAATAGTCACTTCACATCTGTGATTACGAATCGACGATACATTCCACATCCAACAAATCTATTTTCTTTTTTGGTGATGGTGATAATGATAGTGTGTGGACCGGATATTTCTTTTAACATGTAGCACCTTTCACGTTCCATACCGGCTTTTCGAAACTTCTCGGACCACACTTCCAAGTGATATATCTGTTCGAGGAGTCAGATTGCTTTTTTGATGGTTTTCATTAACCCATTTAGCAGGACAAGCCGGAGAATGATATTTATACTGGCCTTCTGATGAGCTGTGACGTTAGAGCATCTCGTTGGAGCACAGATACGGGTCTGACATTTTTCAGAGGGGATATTATCTGGAGGCCTCTTTTATCACGATTCTTGACGCAATAGAATGACGAGTGTCTTCTGATTGGGATTGAAGCTATCTACAAAAGTTGTCATAATTAATTTGGAGAGGGTTTGGTTCTTGTGGAAGCATTGCTAATATGTATGATTATCATATCTGACAATTTGACCCCAATTACTAATTGAGGTGCCTCTCAATGACCATTGAATCCGTCGCTTTTCCTTGGATGATATCATAAATGTCTTGATATTGAATCTTTTAATCATGCCTTGCACATTTGATTGCATTATCTGCTTACCCAGCATACATAGACATTCGAGGTTTAATACATTCTACATTATCTGCTCATTTTCCCTTCCATCTCTACATGTGCGAGATAGGAGAACATAGTACCCTTAGAATGCACTGCCGAAAAATATTGGCACTAGGTTTTCACTCAATATTCGAGTTCCTGAATCTTACTGTCGCCAAAAAGAAACAGTCAAACTTTTGGTACGGACTCGTCTATTTGGTTGTTCGGTTTGTGGAATATATCATCAAATGATGCTTTTTACAATACGCAGCCGAAATAAATATAGAAAATCGTTTGTAATGCGGCTTTTGCTTCTGAAATGCCAATTTTAACCGTTTCATACCTCGCTGAACTCTCAGTGATATGTTCGATGGTATACTTGTGATGAGAGAGAACAGAATGGGGAGGGAGATATTTGTGCAGAGGAATGAGAATTTTTCCCGCGATGAGAGATTTGGAAATACCGCGTGTGGAAGGAGGGGTGCACTGGGAGATAGAAATTAAAATCTGTACTTGACACTTTACTTATAATTTTGCGAATCAACATGTTCAATAATACATTCTCTCGCCGTCTTTGGATCGAGATGGGAATGAACAATCTTTTTGTGTCTGATGCATCATTGAGAGTTGGCTGTGCTCTTCTACAGGTTATATAGTGACATTCGAAAATTGAGGGTTTCTTGCCCTTAAAACACACTTGGTACACTTATCGAAGGGACATGATCAATACATCCTATATATACTGCACGAGAATAGACAAGGAGATACCGTCTGTGTCTTGAACCTCTGAGATGGAGATTCCCCACGTTCACAAATATACCTATGAATATACAATTTGGTTTGTATATCTCTATATGTCGATGATCCACGGGCTTGAGTTTTGAAGAACAGAAATAAGGTATCTGGAAGTCTAACAGAGGAGGAAGTGCAACAAGATTAGATCTCGGAGTGTGCGATAGACTTTGCGGATTTCGAATGTCATATTGTTGTAGGGGTTTCTTTGCTATGTAATAGGGATGAAGATTCTAGGTAGAGGAGTGGACGAGTAAGTAGATGAGTAAGTAGATGAGTAAGTAGAGGAGTAAACATTAACTTCTCTTACACTCATATATGTTGAATCCTCGAGCTTTTGGGAGGTTATATAGCGGACTAGCAAAGCGAATACACAGGTTGGGGACGCTGTGTAGCTTTGATTGATGGATGTTGAATGATAAATGTAAAGCGAGGAAGCAATGGATTTGTTGGCAACTATATGGAATGAGGTCCCATGTGTAGAGATATAGGCTGGAAGCATTGAGGAATAAGAGTCGAGATTAAGGTTTATGTATATGGAGGGAGACTGAGATTTTGTATTGAGGCTTTACGCTTCACGAGTTGATGTGATAGATTCTCATTTCTTGTTTGAGAACTGAAGATTTGTAGGCGATTAGATGAGTCTGTATAGGAGAATCGAGGTCATGTTGCACAGGCCATGTGTATGATGACGAGGAAGGAGACAGACAGTAAGGAAATTTGGGATAGGGGATGAGGTGTAGATATTTGCGTAGTATTTATATATATAGAGACCTAGACAGAAATTGAACCTTTGGAATAAATTTATAGATTAACCGTGGATTTTAGATGGCGTGAGCTGGAAAATATATGTCTCCTCTACTTCCCTCCACCATCCAGCACCCCTCAGATTACAGTGTAGTGATTCCTTATTCTCACTACATCTGATGATATACTCATTCAGCTTATCAACACTGTATGTAATCCGGTTGAGATCCAGAGAATATTGATTCTATAGATATATATATACATAGGTAGATTCTTTATTCTTCTCCAAAAGGACTAACGGCAATAAGGCACAATATATACATACATATATATATATATATTCGTAAAATCAAAAGATAAATCTGACGTTAGTCTGATGTTAGTCTGATGTTTATGTGATATATACGTACCTAGATTTATGTGATGCATACCTAAATAAGAATTAGGATATAATATTGCTCAATACGCATATAGATACCGTAAGGTAAGACAAAAAGTCGTTCTCTATCAAATACCGAACTCTTCCCCTGCATTTAGATCGACGCTAGCTAAAGATAATCAATCGCTTATCTACTTAATGTTGCCAAGCCTTTGTCTCCCGATTGACAGCATAGTGACGTCTTGGATCTTGGATCGAAAAAGTACGCGCTGGTCGCGTTGAACCTCGTGTTCGTAAAAATCCATTTTTCTTTCTTTATTGTGTTGAATTGATAAATATATATACATATACACATTGGTGGCGACTTTGAAAAAACCAAGGAAAACTTGATGTTTTTTATTTCCACGAGAAACATCTCTTTAAAGCAATTGCCATCAAGGTTAACCATCTCACAACGGAATAATTTCCCCGTCCCTCAATTCCTCGCAAAACAACGAATACTGCATCGAAACTGCATATCTACCTCTCAAATCCTCAATATGTCCACACGAAAAGCAACCGCAGCTGCATCCGCAAAACGTAAAGCTAGTTCCACTCCCGAACCCATCTCCCATCTCAATGGCTCCAAGAAGAAAGCAAAAGTCAGCGACGATGACCACGATTTATCTGAGCTCCGACAACCGCATCACAGCGCAAAAGAAGCCGAAGAAAATGGCATTGTTCTGAGGAAATATTATCCCCATGAAATGTGTAATCCGCGCGCCATCGCATATAATAATAATGAATTGGAGAGACCAATTGAGGCTCTACACTCTGCGCTTGGAGAGACGGAAAAGGAGAGGAAGGGAATCGATAAAGGAGGGGAATGTGTGGTTCATTGGTTTAAGTGTGATTTGAGGACGAAGGATAATACGGCATTGTGGATGGCGAGTCAAAAGGCAAAAAAGTTGGGGGTTCCTCTTGTGACAATGTATATTGTTAGTCCTGAGGACTTTGAGGCGCATTTAACGGCTCCGGTTCGAGTGGATTTTATTTTGAGAACTTTGGAGATTTTGAAGAAGGATTTGGCGAAATTGGATATTCCGCTTTATGTTGAGACGATTGAAAAGAGAAAGAGGGTCGAGGGGAGGATTCTAGAACTATTGGAGGAATGGGGATGTTCACATCTCTATGCGAATATGGAATATGAAGTCGATGAGCTGAGACGAGAAGCTAGGATGGTGAGAGCTTGTGTGGAAAAGAGCATCTGTATGGATGTGATACATGATACATGTGTGGTTCGTCCGGGAGATTTAAAGAGTGGACAGGGAAAGCAATATGCAGTTTATTCTCCTTGGTTTAAAGCATGGGTGGCGCATGTTCATGAGAACTCGGATCTTCTCGAGCTTTTCGACGCCCCGGAAAAAAATCCTTCCAGTGCGCGCAAAACTTTCGCAAAATTATTCGAAACGGAAATCCCAGATGCACCAAAGAATAAAGCTTTGACAGCGGAAGAAAAGGAACGATTTCGATCCATGTGGCCAGCAGGCGAACATGCAGCCCACGAACGACTCTCAAAATTCGCGCATGAAAAGATAAATAAATATGGAGACCATCGAAACTTTCCCTCCCTAAACTCTACCTCTTCCCTCTCAGTACATTTCGCATCCGGCACACTATCTTCCCGAACCGCCATCCGCACCGCGCGCGATCACAACAATACCAAGAAACTAAATGCCGGGTACCAAGGAATCCAAACCTGGATCTCCGAAGTAGCTTGGAGAGATTTCTACAAACACGTCTTAGTCCACTGGCCATTCGTCTGCATGAACAAACCCTTCAAACCCGAATACACAAACATCGAATGGGAATACAACGCCTCCCACTTCAAAGCCTGGACGGAAGGCAAAACCGGATATCCGATCGTCGACGCCGCAATGCGCCAACTGAATCATTGCGGCTACATGCATAATCGCAGCCGGATGATTGTGGGTTCTTTTCTCGCCAAACACCTTCTCCTCGATTGGAGAATGGGCGAGAGATATTTCATGGAACATCTTGTTGATGGGGATTTTGCCAGTAATAATGGAGGATGGGGATTCTGCGCTAGCACGGGGGTGGATCCGCAGCCGTATTTTCGAATCTTTAATCCCCTGCTGCAGAGTGAGAAATTTGATGCAGAGGGCGAGTATATTCGCAAATGGGTAGAGGAGTTGAGGGGGGTGAAGGGAAAAGCGATTCACGAACCGTATGGAGATAAAGAGGCGGCGAAGACGGCGAAGAAAATGGGATATCCAGAGAGGATTGTGGAGCATAAGGTTAGTAGGGAGAGGTGTTTGAAGAGGTACAAGGAGGGGTTAGGCAGGGCGAATTCGTAGGCTGGAGTGGTTGAAGATTGAGGCTAGTATTAGTATTAGTGGAAAATTATATACCTAGGTAGGTTGATCGAGTCAGCGGTATCTAGTAATGAATCAATAAATCCACAAAGTAAATAAACATACAACTTTATCCCTTTCTCCAATCCCCAAATACTAAAATGCTGAACTCGAGCGCAGCGAGCAAAAGGGGGTTTGGGGGCTTGCGCCCATGATGAAGAATATATAATAGATGAATAAATGAATGAATAAATAGAAACCTTTGATAAAGGCACTACGGATAATATGGATATATATAACTGTAGATAATTGATTATTTTATAATTTATATGATAAGAATTAGATAGATGAACGGCTTAAGTGATGGATGGATGAATGAGTGAATGAATGAATGAATGAATAAATAAACATTTCAATGGAGAAAATATATATATTGAGGTAGGTAGGTAGGTAGGTATATAAAATAGAGGAGGTGAAGGGTTTTCTTAGAAATTAATCAAAGGTATAGATGGATGGGTATGTTGCTAAGGGTTCTGATGAGTAAGTATGGGATTTATAGAGGATTTGTATGGATGGAATTTGTATGTATATATGAATATATGTATGTGATTTTATTGTTGTTTTTATTTATCATGAATGAATAGATGGGTAGATAGGTAGGTAGGTATCTGTACCCAAGTATCTATGATCAAGTAATGAAGTCAAGAAAGCAATAAACGAATACACTACATAATATGACACGTCAAAATCAAAAGTGTAACAAAAAAGTATTGGTATTCGCTCACTCAACTATCTTCCTCCCTAGCTACCTAGCTACAAACTAGGTACGTAGCTATCATAAAAAGCTCGCTCGCATACAAAATGCAAAGATGCAGAGATGCAAAAAGGCCAATCCAGCCCCAAAAAACAACCCAACCCAGCCCCATCCATCCATCCAACGCACGCTATGCAATGAAATATGCAAAAAAGACCTTAATCCGTATCATCCTATCTCATCCCATCACATTTCCCTCAACTATAGATCAGGCGCCAAAAACCCCCTTGACTCTCCTCACCAATTCCCTACCCATTTCATTTCTTCCCTCCCTAGTTCTCCCCACCGCATCTCGATTCTCATACGCTCTCCTCAAAAGATACTTCATGCATTCCCCAGTGGTTCCCCAAGTCAAATACTTATACGCCTTTGGAATATCCGTTTTCAAATCCAATTGATCTCTTCCTCCTTTGGTTCCCCCAATCAATTCATTGATTCCTCCATGAACTGTAACTTTCGAATCCTGCGCATTTGAAGAATTCATCGATTCGGCTAATTTTCCCTCCGCGACAAGTTCGCAGGATACTTCATCTGCCATACCTTGCAATTGTGCATAACATAATTCGATTCTCTCTTCGCCCTTCTCAGCCTGTTCGGTACGAATAACCTGAGCCTTTCTGACCGACTCCAAATTATGACCTGCGAGTGCCAAATCCACAGCTTGGAATGTTTTTTCCTCTCCATTTTCTGGTTTTAGGATCGCATTAGGAGTTTGACGAATCAGTGCCTCGGCAATCCCATCATAACATTCATCTGTTTCTCTCTTGGTATCGTGGATCAATTCGCGAGGATCCGATCCCATATATGCGCCTCGAACCAATTTGACTCCGAGGGTAAAGTTTTCCTTTTGCGCAATAGCCATGTGGTTTGAGACGACTCGAGGACAGGCTTTGAGATATGCTTGATAGGTACCATAGATGACTGCTCCTCCTTTGCCGGGTTTATTATATCTCTTCATATATTTCAATGTCCAAAGATCGATACCCGCTTGTACAGCAGCATGTTCCGCATCAAAAGCTAATTTGACACCTCGTTCTGCACCCAATGCACAAATATCATCAATAGCCTTTTTGAGTGTATCATGACAAACTCCCTTTGCCTCTAGAGCCTGTAGAGCCAAACTTCCTGCACCAGTAACCTTGATAGAAACGAAATCTCCCGGACCAGCTAATCGGACAGTAGCCAAAGTACCTTCAGCCCAAGGTAAAACTTCATTCTTGACACATTTCTCCACATCGATATTGGCACCTGGAGATTTCTCAACTTCTCTTGCATAACAGAGAAAAACACCTTTGAAACCCAGATCTTTGATTCCTCGAACCGTCTTTTGAACTTCGGCGTGGGTTTCACCTGCACAAAATTGTTTGTAAAAGGTGTTCTTGAGGAAGAATCGTAAAACGGGATTGCGATCGGGTGATAAGATGGGATTTTGAGAATGGGCGAGAATGGTCATTATTTTTAGGGATGGAGCGAGAAGTAACTATTATTAAGAGATGGAATGGTTAGTAAAAGTTCGACACATAGGTATATTTGATGTAAGTAGTAAAGAAAAAACAAAAACAGATCAGGATGATTAAATGAAAATGACGCTCCGCTGGCCCTCCGGGAGCCACTGCCGTGGAGGCTTTTTCGCTTCGCTCTAGAATTAAAGGGGGAATATTTGAAGTACTCAGGCAGTAGATAAGACTTACAGGAGAAGAAGAAATAGTATTGATAACCAGAGATCTTACAACATTACTCAGAGGTAATATTGAGAGCGGACTAATCTTTGGCATAGTAGCTGATTTAGATTTCGAATCAGATTGTATTGGATGAAGAACATCCGTAGCGGCAGAAGCTGAAGTTGGATTTCCAGCATATGTAGATTGAAGAGGTGATGTTCTAGAAGACAATCTTCTATAATTTGAAGGCGCAATCAGGAATGGTCTTCGAGAACATAGTAATGCTTTCCGAGATATTAAGTTCGACATGATGCAAAGTGTGAAGGAGTTTTGAAGTCGATAAATAGACCAATAAATGTATAAATACGGCTTTGTGTTTTTCTTTCTGTGGCTCGGTTTCCTCTGTGTTGCGCAATGAATACTGACTGATTGCGAAAAGGACTGATATGTACAGACAAACAGGAATGAAGGGAATGAAGGGAAAGAAGAATAGAGAAGGAAATCAGGATAGACGAGGAATTTAAATAGGAAAAGAGAACTTGGGAGTTAAGAAATAATTCGAGAAGAAAATGAAGAAGAAATCAAACCAGCGAAATCGGAGTTGTGAGTGAATAGTAAGTACAGTATCAATAATCAAACATACAGCGAAGAGACGAGGAGGGGACATGGAAATGGAAATGGAAATGATGAAGCTTATCGATAACCCCAAACCAACATGCCGTCGACAACCATGAGATCCAAGCTTATCGTAAGTATATCAGGATATCCACTTTGAAATCAAGAAAGATGATTGGGTGAATTGACTTTCTTTAAACGCTTCAAATAGTTGTGGGAATGCTACAACCGATGGAAACCGAATGGATAGTGCTTTGATGTCGGTGATATGGACAAGATGGAGCAAACTAACAAAAACTATTCGAATATTGATGCCGATATAACTCAACTATTACCTATATATTGGAGATGAATATGTTTGATACTCAACAATGATACGAGAATCGAAGAGAGGAATGGAGACGAAGAGTCTGGATTGAATAATGAAGTGGATATAATTACCATTTAATTTCCATTTATTATTATGATGATGATGATGATGTTTTCTTCTTCTTATATTGGTGTCTTTTCGACATCTTGCTGTCTCAGATCTTCTTCTTCCTTGCCTCCTCTTCGTCCTGTCGTTGCTCCCGTTAAGAAATCTATATATCCCAATCTTCTACCTCTTGCATAACCAACTGCATCTTGTAATAATCCATATCCTATACCAAATGCCAATCCGGTCTTTGCGGTTCGGGCTGTGGTTACTATGGGGAATCGATCTGGAAGAGGAATTATGTTAGTATTGGTCACTCATCATATTGAATCTTCTCCCATCGATCATCTGCCCTTTGCCTTTTTCCATTTACGTTTGCCAATCTTCATCTCACCCAAAGGAAGGCATTGGCAACGCACGAGAAAATGCCATTGGTGCAAGAATCCATTGATTTATATTGAAACCACAACTCCCCCGCACACAATCACAAGCACAACTCCAGAAACCAAACACAAACACAAAAATAAACCAAACAGAATAAAACTCACTCCATAAGCTAAACCCTCCCGCAACACTCAGACTAGCCACCACAGTATTAACCACATCTTTCTTCCCCCTCCACCTATCACACATATCCTCAATAGCCAACAGCCCCGCCGTCCAAAACGCAATCCTCCCTCCCATCCTCAACCCCTCTTTGACTCCCCCAAGCCCCGTATTGTAATTCTTACTCTTGTGGTACAAATACCACCCCGTCGGCGACGTCGGCAAGCGATGCGCATTCTCAGCGCGGAAACGCAAAGATGCAGCTTGAGAACCGTGGGAGATTCCCAGCGCCATGCCGCAGAGAAAAGATATCGATGTGCAGAGGGGGAGACGCGCGCCGTAGGGTATGGACATGCGGGAATCGAGGACGAGGGCTTCGTGGTGAGCTTTGCGCCAGGCTTTCATTTGGATTTCGAGGAGTTCTTCGGGGGTTGGGGGAGGGGTGGTGAGATCTGTGGTTGGCGGAGAGGGAGTTGAGGAATCCATGGTTTTGGAATTGGTTGGTTGATCGACTGGTCGACTGGTCGACTGACTGAATGCTTGAATGCTTGATTGCTTGGTTGCTTGATATGACGCACAGAAGATTGAAGGAAAATACCGTGTAAATGCCAGTAGATAAGTGAGGTTGTATCGAATTGTATTATATTATCACTATCGCGCAAGGCTGAAGAATGAAGAAATCACTTTTTTTAAAGATCAGCTGCTTTCGCGACTTGACAAAGCTTATCGCGTCGCAAAAGACGTTCAATAATCTGAAGCTGATGCCTGTCTGTTCTCAATCTGCCTATTTATCTTTTGTCCATCTCATTCTTACAAAGGAATTCATCTCCATCTAAAACTACAATAATCACAAATACCAAACGACGGTCTTAAATATCATATTGTCCAATCAATAAATCATCACATACCTCTTTTGTCTAATTCGAATTCGATTCAACTCAATCCATATATACAACCCAACACAATCCAATAACCAACCCTCAAAATGGTAAGCTAACACTTCCCCTCCCTTCCCTCTAGATCTGATCTGCAAAACTGACCTCCCCCCCACCAGCCACCCAAACGCAAAATCAGCACCTTCGACCCACCCAGCGACACAAGCCTCACCCTCTTCCTCAAACACACCGTACACACTATTCTCCTGCTCGTCCCCCCACCCAAACCTTCCCCCAAATCCTCACTCTCCTCCTCTCCACCCTGCAGGAACGCTACCCAGATGGCCTCTCCCCTCTTCCTTCCCCAGGAAACGCAGCTTCAAAATCTACAACCACTCTCTCCTCCACCACTACCACCCTCACGGAGCGCAAAATTCCTCTCCCGGAATCAGTGAAAAATATCGCGCTAGCGGTTCCGGTCGATGTACATGATTTGAAAGCAGGATGGACGGAATTGGAATTGGGATTGGGGGATACGCCGGAGAGTGTGGGGGTGAAGGAGGGAGGGGTGTTGGCGTTTAGGTTTCTGAGGGATGGGGAGGAGGAGGAGGAGGAAGGAGAGTTTGAGGTTGCGTGGCCGAGTTATGAGATTTATGATGAGGGCGAGGGGGAGGGGGATGAAGAAGCGGAGGAGAGAACGTTGGCGGGGGGTGAGGAGGAGGAGCTTTGATTGTGGGGAGGGGATGGAATGAGTTGGGAAGGATAGGGATTCAAGATGAAGAGAGAGATGGAATTGGTGTGGAAAATGCAGCGGGATGATGAGATCTGAGCTCAGATATTTCATAAGGATGATAGTGTGTACTGGAAAATATCATGCCGGCGTTATAGGTATGAAATGGAATGGAACGGAAGGGATGTTTGTTCAATCATGAACCAAATGAGTCTGAGAGAATGAATATGAACAACAGGTATTATAATCATATGATGAGATGAATGCATGGAATCTTGTTTTATGGTTGCTTCAATCAAAGCGCTCAACTGTTAAATTGTAAAAGTGTTTGGTACTTTTGAGAGATCGTTCGTAAGATTGACATCTTGTGGTATAATAGAATGGTTATTGAGGTGTTGTCAATTTGAGATTTCAGGGTATCTATCAATCCAAACTGAACTGCAGTCTAATGATATAAGGGGTTGAATGTTTGAAAGGAGTTTCAAATCTGTAGATACCTAGGTAGTTCAATGTTCTAATCAAATCCAATATCAATATCTTATATGGTTTGAATGTTTTGGTTGGGTTGGAGATGGGATATGATAATCTTTATTGTTGGAATGTAGTTCGGATTATTGGATACTCAATATATCATGTATGTGTGTGTGTGTGTTTGTACATGTGTGTGTATATGTATATATCAACCCCCTCACAACTTCACCCCTTCTTCTCTCCTCACAACTTCGCCTCTCCCCCTCTCTCCTCCTCCAAAACCTCTCTCCTCTCCCGAACCTCCACCTCCCTCGGTCCCTCCTTCCCAAACCTCACGAGCACAACTCTCTTCCCATCCCCTTTCCTGCCCACCCCCTCCAATTCCGGTCCTTGTCCATCTAACCCCAATATCACCCTCCCATCCCCATTTTTCTTCTTGATCCCCAACGAAAGCGGACTCATTACTTTCTCGCCCCAGAGAATTCCCGATGCATCACCTCCGTCTCCTTGAAGGAATTGCAGGACTTGAGTTCTTTGCGCGGAGAGTTCTTCTATTGAGAATGCAGAATTTGAATTTGACTCTGCGGGAAGCAAAAATTTCGAAAGTAATTCCATCAAATAGAATTGTGGGGGGAAGAGAATAATTTCTCCGCTTCGGGCTTTCTCTAGCCATGTAGAACAGTAGGCGAATTCGGCAGCGGTGTGTTCGATGCCGCCGTCGTGGGTGGGGATTGTGTGGGTTTCTTGTTCTTTTTCTGTTTCTTGAATCGTGGGGACACTCTTATTTTCTACTTCCGTTGAGGTTGAAGGAGAGGGAGATGAAGATAAAGGAAGGAAATAAATATACATCTGTGTAGTGAAACGTTTTGGGAGGTTAGAAGGGGTGATCCACCGGGTGAATGGATGGAGAGACTCGATATCGGGGATTCCTCCTTGCTGAGCTAGCCAGGTTGAGAATTTGACTTTCCGGGAATGGATTTCCTTTCTCGCGCGCGAAATTTCTTTTTCGTCGATGTGGAGGGATTCTTTCTTGGTGGTCTTTTCCTCGGGATTTTGAGGGGATGCGGATGGGGATGGGAGAGCGAGGAGTATTCCGCTCTCCTCGAAACATTCCCGAATAGCGCCGAGACGATATATCTCGGAATCTACATGACGGGATGGAGAGGAGGGTGAGGGGATAGGTGATTCATGGTAGGGATCGAGGTTTCCGCCTGGGAAAACGTGGGCGGAGGGGAAGGAAGATGAGGTGCGAATACGATGGAGCAGGAGAATTTGGTTTTGGGGAGAAATGAGGAGGATACTGTGGGGTGCGTTAGTAGGGATGGGAATGAGGGGATGAGAATGAGATAAGAATAGAAGAAAGTGAAATGGTAAAGATATATCACACACCTCGAACTAGGCTGTGGAACAGCAATCTCTTTCGTGGCTTTCCTATCTACTTTAGAACTACTAGTAGATGAAGTATATTGTTTTTCCAAATCAGACCTCGGAGATGGAGATCCGGGTAATGTCATATTTCTCGGTCTTTTTCTTATTCTTGACAATGTTCCTAGACTTTGCTGAGATGTGTAGATTCTTGTGGTGTGAAAGAATCTATAATGTGATTGTGATCTTCTGAATGTTAACGTTCTCAAGGCGGAGATCTGAAATGCGGATGGAGTAATGACTTTGTATATACTTCTAGACACCAATGGAACTGGAATTGCAATCGTAAGGGAAGAAGTATGATATAGATGTGTTATAGACATTGATATTTGAGTAGAGCCACGACCAGAAATCAAATTAAAGGGGTCGCGGATAGGAAGCTTGCACGTGCGGGGGAGTCGTGCGTAGAAAGAAGCATTTCCGAAAATCTGGGGAAGCTGGATGGATGAATGAGCCGAGCCGAGGTTTGGAGTTGGGGATGGTCTGTGCTTCCATTGTATATTTCTTGTGGATGTGGTGAACGACATATTGAGACTCTGGGAAGAGAAGACTGTTATTTTGTTTAACTGGGAGAATTCTGACATGGAATTTTGAGAGGGAAATTCGAGGCGTAATGAATGTGGGTAACGAATTAAATTCTAGCGAAAGTGCTTCTCTGTCCAACGAGTGTATGGTTGAGTAACGTTAGAGTTTAGTTCTGTGGAATGCGTAAGTATCCTTCGTTCTCAAATTGTGCGATAGCTATATAGTTATGTGTCTGATATCTGCAACATTATCTCTCTGACATGATCTTAAGTTCTTCCCCTGGCCAGAACCCAATGCGTCGGTTGGGTAGTAAACATGTGTCAGCACTACAGCATACTAGTTACCATGCTGAGGAACGTTGTCTCCCAGATCTATAAGAAAGGCTCCTCAGACGTAGTTTGTGTCATTGAAATAGTTTTACACAAATGAAATCATTCTTGCGACATCAAGTAAAATCAAAATATGTCAAAATATATTTGCTGTTATCAGCAGCTAATCCAGAAGATTTCTTGCTTCGATACTGTAGTTCGAAAAAAGTATCAAATCAAATGTCCTTGCATCCTAGATCTCAGTAAGATGTTTTGCTCATGGCCTATTCATCTCCTCTATTACCATCAAACACTTCCCAAGGAGATTTCTATCCCCCAAATACAGAAGCAGGTCCGGCCTGCAGTTGCAGTAGCCCTATCCAATCCTTCCCCTCCCCCCAACAACCAGAAAGAAATGGGATCATCATCCTCCCTATTCTTCTCATATTCATCCCTCAATTTACAATATCCCATCCTCTCATAATACAACTTCTCTCTCGCTCCAACTCCTCGATCCAGAATTTTGTTTGGTGCAATACAGTCGCATACATGATGATGACAACGAGAGCTTTGCTAAGTAAGACCAAATGATTTGTTGCTTCGGAGAAAGAAGTTGGATTGTTGTAGTAGTGATGCGCGGCCCAATAAGGGATTATAGATAAGGCTCCGGAGAATATGAGCTGGGGGGTGTATCAGTCTGGGATTTCTTTAATCGAGAGATACAGGGGCTAAGGAGAAGAATTAAAGGGAGAAAGAGATTAGAGAAGGCAAGTATGTGACAGCAAGACTGTCGCAATACACACATACGTAAATATTAAGCTTAACTCTTGTCTCAGACGTCATGTCTTTCATTGCCGCGGTAAATTTCTCATTCATCTGATGTCGCATAGTGCCCAAGCTTCTAGGAGATTGATTCTCGGGGATAGTCTGGAGACTTTGAATATGAGCGAGGTGAGTGGTACGAAATTTTCTGCAGTTCCAGTGTTAACGTATGGTTTCATATTGGCAGTTGAGAAAGAGAGAACTACGTATTTCGATCCTTGGCATATATCCGGTCTTGAGCTTCTTGCGCGGTCGCTCTAGTCTTCATTCCCCATTGCGTGGAATAGTTTACGTCAAGCTCCTTGCTATTGCGAAGAAAGTAGGAGATAAGTGATATGATGAAGAGTACACAGCCAGTAATTGCAGCCCAGGAGTACTTGGAGTCGCGGAATTGAAAGAGTATGTTGACTATGACGAGGATAGGAGCAATCAGAATGGCAATGAAGGACTAGGAGGTATGTTAGTACATCGAAATGTGGAGTAATAATCTAGTGAGACGTAAAGGGGACCAAATTACCCAAAGGAGAATTTGTGCAACTTGATAGCTCATGGATGAACCATGGTATGCTTCTTTCTGGAGATACTCTGCTGACATGGTGTATTCATTCTCGATGGAGTCATTCTTATGGAGTGTTGGATGAGCTACGCTATCGACTTCTGATTCCGAAGGTTTAGCGCTTTGGATCTACGTGGGAGGAAAGTAAGTATATGTTGTTGGTAATAGTATACTAGGTTTAAGTAAATTCAATTCGGGAATTGTGAGATAGTCTTACTATGTCTGGGTAAGTCTTCAAGTTAAAGACGATACCGAACACCTTTCTAATAGAAGATTTGTAGGATTCCATCATGGATTTAATCATCTATCAGGCTCTGTGTCAGTAAACTTGTCGACATCAAGGGATGAAATTGTTGTAGCAGATATGCATTAAACTCCTAATAGCATATCCGGAAACACCAAAAAGGAAACCTACCTTTGAATGTTAACTTATAGAAGTATCTTTGTTATTAGATGGTTCAAACGTGCTGTTTGCAAGATGCCTGTTGATACAAAGTTCAAATTCGATGTAAGTATCTTTGTCCTGTACGGAAAGTTCAAAATTATTGTGATACTTTTTGTTGTAATGCAATAGTAAAAGCAAGACGGCTCGCAACAGTAGATACCTTTATGTCTTTTTTCAAAAGGTTCGCTTCCTTTCTCCACTTCCTTGAGATTCAACTATGAACCCCGAGCCTAAGAACAGCACAGATGTCTAATAGTAATTCCCGATGGGAAGTTCTATACAGAGAACTGTATGGAGATCTCATTACCTAGGGAGTGTTACTGTACTCCGGATGAGAGAAAATTCTACCGAAAAATTGAATTCTTCTCGGTTGCGCCAATCGCTTGCCTGGGTTACGGCCGACGTTAGAAAGTGAATGCTTCGCTTCAATGTTTCATATAACGGCTCACATATTAGTCGATATCTTCCCCGCACAGAGAAGAATTACTTGGCGATCTGACGCCCCTTGGAGGTCTTTAATCGAGTAGCTGCTTGGAGTAAATTCATAAGTTAGCAGAGAGATTGGATTGGTAGGTTCATGTAGGGTCAAGCGAATAATTATTCACGAGTATCTCTCGAAAATTTCACCATGTGATGAATACTGGAATTACCTCATATTCTACTGCATCTTGTAGAAGTAGATGGAAGCGCTAGCTGATAAGCGAAAGCGATTATGGTCTACAAAAGACTATATAATATCATGTCAATTCTATCATTGACATATCGAAAGCTCGCCCCTGTGTTTCTCGACTAATGGACCTTCGCTTGATCAACAGTGTTACTATTTATATGCGTTTTCGAGTTCTTTCACTGAATTTCTACATGCATCTCTTATTAGCATGATCTGCCCCCAGACAGCACAATGAAAAAACAGCAAAAATATACATATCACAAGTCACGGAAGACTTCTCGTGTTACGTCTGCTCGAACCTAGATTATCAAAACTTACTATGCCGAGCTAATCTGGAAGCGATTCATCATGAATGTCAGATCGACTGAGATGGGACGATATATTGAAATTATATGGCTATCTCCTTCCACCATCATCTAGTTTAAGAATGGAACCCTGTGCTAATTTTGTGTCCCTCAAAATTTGATGCCTTTCACCCATATATTTCTCATCATAAATCTTCTAGATGTGGAATCCGCATAACCATTATCTCTTCATTTATGTGAGAAAAAGAGAAACGATGAAAGTTGCATTAGGCGCTCTGAGCTTCTCATATATGTTTCTATAATTCTGTGCATATAATTGCTTTCTTTGATCAATAGTGAAACAAATATATGCTGGCACTTGAAGTTCAAGTTCTTTCATTCATCTGTTTGAGCTAACACTTCTCTTGTTCTTATAAATTCCCCACGCCATAGCCCTCTAGGCTTGAATACTCTCATCCAAGTCCATTAATTTATCTGTGTATTCTTTCGACCTCATCATGCAGTTTCCCTTTCCCTTCTCACTCGCCAATCTCCTTGGTAAAACTTGGTTATAGTGAATATGATTGTCGATCTCAATTCCATAACTCCAAGTCCGAATGAACCAGGTTGTATATTGATCGATTACAACTCACATTGTTTACATGTAACTTACTAAGGCTTCTTGAAATAGTTGATTATTCTCTACTATCGTATGAGTATTATGGACGATATTGAACATTATTTTGCTCTCGTAGTCACCTAGTCTATGCTGATTAAATTTGGTGCAGCCTGCTCAAGATAAATTGTGTATCTTTGAAGGAGTAATGTAACTAGATCCGCGAGCAGAAACTTGCATCATATTGTGATGGTGAACCGGAAAGTATCTTGTTCTTTCTCTTCAGATAAGATATCAATGGAATACCACCCTCATACTACGCTAAATTGATGTAATCATGTTCACTTGAGGTAGGATAAAAGGAACATCAAGACATTAAGCACTATCATAGTCTCATCGATATCTAGGCGAATGAACGTCCGTCATGATCACTCAGTCTCATTTTGGTGGACTTGAGAAAGGACTTTTCCAGATATCCATCCAGATATCCATACAGACATCATTTTATATAGGGTATTCTGTGATCTTGAACTCTGCATGCCTTGGTTTAATGCTTCCCGACAAAGCAGTACTACATGCCCAATTTCAATCTATACTCGGCAAAGTAATAATACCCGAGCCGATGTGCTCCGTATTGATGTAGCCCGAGAAACTCCCCACGGGTAAAGTCATGGCCATCTACCATCATCCGGTCCCAGATTTCATCAGACAATATCTGACTCATCTAATCAAGCACACTGTCTCCAAATCTACTCATTGAAAAGTTGTAGATCTTCTTGTCACGTTAAAGTTTGAGCTAGCTTACACTAAAGAAACTAAATTTCAGCCCTAAATAAGTTGGGATGTGGGGTCGCCGTTTGACTCATACCTGGCTACTGCATGTATGTAACCTTAGACTTCACTAAATGCACCTTCCCCCCTTAATTTATATCGTATTATCGTGTATAAAACAACGAACTTCTTCTCGGATTATCCAGTCTTCACTTCACTTCGAATACGATTCTAATTTTACTCAATCTCCATTTTCCCTTTATTCTACTGTAGAAACCATACAAACGAACCATCAAGATGAGTAACAATGGACCACTATTTTTCTGGCATCCAGACGATGCGGATCACCCTTTCCTATCCCAGCATTATATCTGTGAGTTTACGGATGAGAATGGTCGTGTTTACACTTCAAGCGAACAGTTCGTTTCCCCTATTATACAGAAGTGTTCTCTACTCACATGGTTTGATCCAGATATATGATGTTCCATAAAGCTCTTCACTTCAATGACATTCCCACCTCGATCGAAATTCTTGAAACGACCAATCCCAGAAAAATCAAGTCTCTCGGTCGCAAAGTCAAAAACTTCGATGAGAAGGAATGGAACAAAGTTAAATTCAACATAGTCATTCAAGGAAATGTATTCAAGTTCTCGAGAGGTGGAAAAGAGTTGAGAGAACAGTTCGAGAGAACCGGCGATAGAGAACTGGTAGAAGCAAGTCCGTATGATAAGATTTGGGGTATTGGAATTAAGGGTGGAGTTAAGGAATGTCAGAGACAGGTGAGAGATGGGACGTTGGATGGGAAGAGGAAAGAATGGGGGAAGAATCTCTTGGGTTTGGCGATGGTTGAGGCTAGAAGGTTGATCAGAGAGAAGGAGAAGAGTGAGAGAGGAGAGTGATATTCATTTTAATGGGAGGACTTCAGTCCATACAGGTTAAGACAGTAAGTAAGTGTCTTCTGGAAAGTTTGGATGAAAGTTCCTAGATGTCTTCATTCGATACTAATGTTTCATTCTTAGATATCACTTCTAGAATCATTGTAGGAGAGATCAAATCTTTGCAGTAGCGTAGTAATTCTAGGAACATCTCATCTCAGCCTTCACTTTCATTGTTATAAATAATCCCAAAACATTAGAAAATTGGCCGAAGTCCACAAAGATAAGGCACGCTTCCAATTTTTATCTGCGTCCTCGTTAAAACTTATATATCCTCACCTCTTCGCGCTTTTCAACCACAACAATATAGACAACGATTGTCAAACAATCAACACAATGGCAAACTACGATTTGCTAGCAAATCCTCTTGCAGTCCGCAATCCAAATCCCCTCAGTCTCATTCCATACTCTGTCGCTACTGGATACTACTCCGAAGAAAGTAAAGATGTTTATCTCACCTACGCAAATATCTACCCACACACCCACGTTCCCGGCATTCCCTCACCTTACAGTCAAGAACAACTCGAACGACGCGCTCTCTATATCACTGGTATTCCATCAGACTGGTCAACTCCAGCTTTTCGCTCAATATTCGAGCTCTATGGAGTTGTCGAAAAATGTCCTATGATCTTCGATCTAGCATCCAAATCTACATTTCGCTTTGTGATTATGAGAAACACGGAAGATTGTCTCAAAGCGAAAGATTCAATTCATGGTTTGGTGTTGGAAAATAATACGATTTACACAACTGAGGCATTACCTTCAAGCTCATTGTTGAGACTTTATAATTTGGGTCTGGATGAGTTGGGTTTGAACGCCGATGAGTGCTTAAATATCTTGGAGAACAATCGGGTTATTGAGGATTTTGAAGTCGGTGATTTGGATGCTACAGATCAAAATGTCGCACTGAATACACAATACGTTTATACCAGCGCTACTCTTGATCAAGCACCAATCATCCATGGTCATCCATCTCCTCGAACCAAATTACCCATCGTCAAAATCCGAGCAGCAGACTCTGAAACCGAAGTCGAGTTTCCACCTCCAAATATGATTCGCAAAAACAGACCTGCACCTTTAAACCTCGTCGGAGCAAATAACATCACATCTCGCCGCATCTCACCTCTCTTACCCCCTCAGTCACCTTTCCCAACCCAAACCCACTTCGAATCCATCTTCGAAAACTCTGCACCCAGCTCCTCGAATTCCCTCACCCCCACACCCACCCAAACCGCATTCAAAACTCAAGTCTCAACCTGGGCCGCCATCGTCAGCAGCGCTTCTCCCAACCACCGAAATGTCGACCTCCACCCCTCGACTCCCCGCTCAGGCCGTCGTCTCAACAGCATCGGACGCATTCCCTCCCTCCCCCCCTCCAAACCCATGATCCACGAAGCCCTCTCCCAACAAGCCCGTGTCGTCCTCATCCTCAACATCCCCTCCACAATGACCCTCTCCGACATCTCCAACGCCATCCACGAAGGCCCCATTGTCTGCATCCGCTTCGGCATCGATTCCGACACCGGGAAGCGCTTTTCCGGTATCGTGTTCCAGCATGCTTCGGACGCGCAATCTTTCTTCTCGGTGCTCCTCGCGGAACGAGAAGCGCAAGCCCCGAATCGTTTTAGATTCATCGCGGATTGTGTGCGTGGCGAACCATTTCCGATAAATGACGATATCATCTCCATGAGCGCACCTACTTTCGCATCGCGCAGATTGACAATCGTAAAGAAGGCATTTTTCTTTGCATTCACGGGACGCAATCTTCAAACGCTGTGCGAGAAAGAAGTTGGGAGGGAAAATGTACAATTGGTGTTTGTGTATAATGGGGGGAATGCGACGGTGGTTTTTGCAGAGGTCAGCGCGGCGAGGAAGATGAAGAGTAAACTTGAGAGGTTGAGGGAGGGAGCTGGGAAGGTGGGAGGCACGAGTAGTATTTATGAGGGGTTGCAGGTTACTTTTAGTAAGGATCCGTGTGAGTTAGAGGGGGGATTGAACTTGCAAGCTGCGGATGGGTATTGTGCTTAAGGGAGAGGGTGGTGAGTGGTCTAATTGGCAAAATGGTTTTTGATGGAAAGTTTGCTTTGCTGAATGGCTGTTCTTCTGGATTGTTTGCTTGGTCTCAAGTCGACTCGCTCGATGGCCGTGGTCATTTCATTTGTCGCATTTGGCCAAATTGTCTCCTTGAAGAGGAAGATTGATTATTGCGATGTATTGAGTCGCCTCGGCGTTCTCTATTTATCTAGTTTTGTATTTTGCGATGCGATTGAACTATGGATACAAATCTTTCCATGGGAGGATGTCCAGATCCATGGTGGATATCTCGTTCTGCGTTTCTGTCAAATAACACTCCACTTCTTTTCCAGGCATCTAATAAGACCTGATATCATATCACCGCGGATCACCTTCCGTGGCACCCCTAATTAGTTTTCTTTAACAATGAAAGATTATTCAAATCCCAGCCAAACGCCTATTCATGCAATTGATATCCCAATCCAAATCGTACAAATATTTGTACATCCCCCCAATGATAACCTATCCAAATACCTTTTGCCAAAGTGAGACGGAAGGCCTCCTTCCATAGACATGATTTGTACAAGCATCCTCATGACCAAATGTTCCCGAACCACTATGTCTCTGACCACTTCCCCAAACATTAATAGGTAGTATACCCAGTCCTCTTAAGTTTTCCTCGACGGCATTTCTATCATTGAAATCCTTAGCCGAAAACCAATAAGGAGATCTTAAAGCACGGAATTTCTTCCACGTGACTCTTCTCTCTAATCCTGCATCCATATCTCGTACTTTGTGAACCTCTTTCAGATTCTCGGTCAACATTTCCAAGACGATATCGGTTAACATAGCACCTCCACAAACTTCCCCCGATTCCTTTGAATCGACTTCTTCTCCAAACAGAGAGGCCATAGAAGAATGTGAAACACATCTCACGATAGCTTTTCTCAATAGCGGATCAAATCTTCCCGGTGCCCACATGGCATAAGTAGCAAAACTAAAGGTTCTCGACCATCCCCATTTTTCTCGGATATGGGGAGCCATATATGGCTCATCAATATCGATTCCCAACACTAAACTTATGGGACTGGATCGCTCTCGCTGTTCAACATACCTCCCAGTCGAATTCGGATATCGTCGAGCCATGGATAGAGAAGGATGTTCAATGGAATCCATGTCGAAACATTCTTGAATGCTCATTCGAGGCCAAATATCTGGTTCCAAGTAAAATCCTCCATGATACCAGAGTAATAACCATCTAAACAGATCGACTTCGAGTTCTGGGTGTGTGGAGAGGGTTTGAGAAATCGAAGGTATGGAACGAAAATATGGGAGGATATCTGGGCCGGGTGATGTGGTATATTGTTTTATTTCCCACTTCGGGTTCTTGGACGCCCATTCTTGTGTCCAGCCTTTCCACTTAGGCGCCTCAGCCGCGGAAGTAATTTGCCAAATCTTCTTGGGTGCTCGAATGTCTTTTTCGAGCTTGAGAAGGGAAGATGTGATGCTTTCTTCGATCTCGATCAATTGGTTCTCAAGAATGGTTTCTTGTGTGCGATTCACGTGGAGTCGGTAGGGTGAAGCATGCTCGTAAATTGGTGTATCGAGATGTTCATTTAGAGGTTGTTTCGGAGATTCCTGGGGAAATCGAGATTTAAAGAGAATGGTAATGAGAAATAAGATAAATATTGAGTAGAGAAGAGTTCGACATCTGCGAGGATGTGGCAGATGTGACATTCTTGAATTCTGGCATGATGCGAATATAAAAGATGTAAAAAGAGAGAAGAAAGATAAATATAATTGAGGGAAAGGGGGTCAGACGTTTGGATTGTTCGAGATTTGATGTCGCAAGATGGATGTGATGTGGGGCTGATCACGGACCAATGTTTCTATTTTTGGATTCGTGGGGCTAGATTTTCGGAAGATCACGACGTTGACGTCGACTGAATTGATAATTGAGGATATTGAGGGTATTTCGATATGAATTTCTCTAATAGTCAATATGATGCGGAGCCATTCTCAAGTGAGGACGATGCTATTGTTTCTTCAAACCCACATCAAATGATTGATTAATATCTCGTCGTCTCGTCCGTCAACATCTGGAAGTGCGTGCTACCAACAAAAGGATTGATTCCGCTGAGGTTCCAGTGTTTCGAGGAGACCGTTTCTTGAATATGCGACGATGACGATCAAAACACTTACTGTCTCTCAATTCTCCAGATTTGTTGCCCGGCTTAGAAGGATATGCCTACGGAGAAAGGGCTGGCATACCAATAGTCAAATTGTCTGATGAGAGCTTGATAATTTTGTCATGCATCTATCACTCTTTCCAGTCTGCAATAATTCAATGTTAGGGCTGATAATCATTTTGATTATCGCAAAAAGGATGTGCTTACAGAGCTTCCTGGTTATTTGGACTTCAATTCACTGTTCAATGTTTACGTTGTATGAAGCTTTCTCAAGCCATTTCAGATCTCCATGGCTCAGGATACATCTATCTACTTCGCAGTCACAAGCAGTACTGTCACTTTTATGCTTCTCCTTTCGTAAAAAAATGTTACATTCTAGAAGGGTATTATGCAAGTTGACCCCCATACTCCAAGGGCTATTCATCATTCGTGATTCTCCAAATCTTGATATATCGTCGGATACATAACTGACATATAGATGTTATATTCAACCTCGAGATATTACTTCCATATCGCACTCCGAAACTTTACCAGTCCACAATATCATGATCCCAGGGAAGATCTTCATCCCGAATTTTGGCACAGAAGAAGCCCCTTTTGTTACTCTGTGTGCCAGGGCTTCTTTCCTCGCCGACCCGGCCTAAAGTTCGGTCAAGAATCAAGTTGCTTGATAATAAAGTTAGAAAATTTTGATACCACTCCATGTTGATGTTTTTCAACTTTTTAGCTTCCAAAAGGTTCATCACTTCTCGGTAATAGGTAGCACTCTGGTACTCTAGTGCATCATCCATAGAACCACATTTCACCATCAACGTTCTCCGCCAAGCCCTCGAGTCTTTGCTAAAAAACTCTATGCCACAATCAATGGAATCTCGTATGAAATCAACACTCTGGAGTGCTTTCACAAAACAAGATCTGATATCTTCCTCGTCGTCGAACTTTGATTGCCAATGTTCTTTGCCAGCGGTACTTTTTGCTTTTGAAACTTCGTAAATCAAACACTCCCGGAACAGCACGGGGTGGCGCAGCTCTTTCGCAATTCGAATCAAAGAATCACTGTTTTGGCAGATCGTATCAGTAAATCCGGGACTTCTATGAAACGCGGAATCCAGAGTATGTGAAAGGGCAGGACGGGCACACAAGGAATCTGCCGAGCGGACGATGTCCTTGAAACTTTCATAGTCGCGAATGACGTATGGTCTATTGTAAAAAGCAAAGAGTACGGCCTCGAAAGCACGCCTTTCTCCTTCCTCAGTGTGCGTGGCTCTCAGTTTGTTTGTGTTCGTGAGGATATCGTAATCTGATGTCTACGATAGATTAGTGTTCATCGTCTAGACAAGCATTTTCAGTCTTGGACTGGTGTACGTACCGATTTGATTAGTTCCATAAGCCAAAAACCATCCTCATCAACTGCAGAGGTAAAATCATAACGGAACTTTCCTGACGGAGTTGCATGGTTCTCTCCCCATTCCAAAGTTGACCGGAAATATTTAGAATTTAGTTTTAGGATAATGGAGTGAGCATAATACACTTGGCCGAAGACATTGAGGCGGAGATCATTTTCGAAGCCTGGTTGGCGAAGGATTATAGGCTCGGCTATTTTCTCGTTGCCATCGGCATCGTGCTTTTGTGGAATTGGAAAATCCATGATTACCAATGATAGTTATTGAGACTGAGGTAGCTATCTGAAGATTAAGAATGAAATAAGTAAAGGAATCTCGAGAGTGTCTTTTGCAGAATTTTTGTTAGGAGCTCAGTAAATTATGGACGTCTCAATCACCTTTTATCTACCTTTGGATTTCCATCTGGACTGGGCTAACCACTTAACGGGTGTCAAGTACTCCTAGTCACCGCACTATTTGATAGTCTACTGAACCAGTCTTGGCCATCGGCGCTAGGTTTAGTGTAGGGCACACCACTTCCAATTCTAGAAGATTTTCGAACTTGGGTTATCTTCCAGAATCCATATCCTCCACATTCATCGATTTCATTATCTACAATATTCTCAGTCAAAATGTCTCTCACGGACCTCAGTGTGATTTTCTTCTAGCCGGGATGTCTCAGAGTCTTTGAGAAAATATCTGTGAGGAGTGTTTCCGAATTATTTTTTGAATGACGGCTGAAGAAACCGTAATTAGCGTTTCATTTTCTGCGAGGCTGACGTTCATATTATCTTGAAAGATGCTAGAGTTTTGATTGCAGTAGACTCAGCGCCATAGATTTTGTGTTTGAGATAGACTTTTACCTTGCTTGTCTTAGCCATTCTGCCTTTTTCTTCGCTGTTGCTTAATGAAAGGTAGCTCCTACAAAGAATAACCACTGTCCGAGTTTGTGCTCTCTCCTATTTTAAGGAGTCCATGATGCTCGTGAAAGCCATTCGCCATCGATTACGGATATCAGGTTGTCTCCCCAAATGATTATTATCCTAAGCAAATTTTGATGATGAATTTGGCGTATTGTGGTTTGAAGGTACCAGGTTTCTTCAAAGTATTGAAGTTGGTGCCACGCAGATCCAGATTAAGCTTTTTGCGGGGTGAACTAATCACGCAAGTACATACAAGCTTGTCAGGGTCAAACCTGTAATACAGAGCCATTAGATATGCAACAACACCTTTGAAGGACGGAAATTGATACTTGATTGGTTCACCACCTATGACGCGATAATTTGGTAGCTTCTAGTTTAGTTAGAACCCCATTCTCGATCTGGTAGTGCAGCGCCTGTGAAAGCTATTCTCGGCAAATTACACCCGATCATTGTATTGCCTAAAGCGGAATAAGTAGATTTGAGACTTAGAGATTGTAATTAGTTATGCCTATGCATCTAGAATTCAAATCTCCCGAATCTACTTCACCAAATTCCTGTGAATAGCTTCACTCAATCTTATATTTCTTTAAACTGGACTATTTATTTGTGTATTTTAAGTACCTAATACATTAAGTCTATCGCTAATACACCAACCACTCCGATAAAACCCGCTGGTGATGCGATTTCCATCTGAAGCACAAACGCACAATATGCTGACTATCATCTTCCTTTTCGAGTCTCCCAAAGCCTGATACAATTGGCAAACATTAATGGCAAGAACATAACCAGCGCTAGTATCATGCATTTCGCGATGCTTCAGACTCATGGAATCTACTGAAAAAGTCCACAGCTCCTCGTATAAAAGTCCTCAAGCTGTCCCCAAGAGATAGACCAGAATTCTTCAACAAAGAAAGTTCCTCTAGGCTCAACTTATAGAGATGTCTTGGTTTACCGGTGTAACCAGTATCCACAGTGAAAATGTTGCCATGCGATGCTTCTTTGGCATTCATTAGCATTTTATGAGAAGTACCACCCATCAGAAAAATTTCATCCCTTCTGATTCTTTTTGTAAGGATAATTAATTCGTTGCCGACGAATTGCAAGTCGATAGGTTCATGAGGAGGAGGTAAATGGATCTCTCCCACAACCTCACTCTTCGGGCTTATCCTAATAATTCTCGAGGTACCAGCTACGGCGCACCACATATGATCTTCTGAATCTATCACAAAAGCCATTGGATACTCCATGGGATTTTTGAATTCATAGAATAGCCTGTCTTTGTCCATTTCAATGATGCCTGTCTCGATGTTAAAGTCATAAGCGATTATGCAATCATTTCGCGCGGGCTCATGGATGTAGATGGTTTTGTCATCCAAGCTCCAACCTATTCCACCGAACCGCCGGATACTCACGTAACGACGATTGGATGGTTTCCAGTCCTTATCAAGGTGGAAGAGTCGGCCAGGAGAGTTTTTTCCCTCGCTAATCATCAACCAAACTCTCCCCTTAGAATCCACGCTTCCCCCAGTGTAACGTAAGTTATCAGATGTTTCCACATCTGACTGGAATCTTGGTGAAATTGTTTCAGATACAACTCGGGAGTCTCGCTCTCCTAGTTGACGATAATTTTCTACGAACCCGAGCTTCTTCTTCGTGGCAACGAAGAGTGTGTCCGAGTATCCTTCAACTTCGACACAAAACAATGGTTGAAATTTGGGTTTCATAATCGTATAAAAGATTAAATCGTTGTTCCCTCTCCGAAGATTGTTCCTTAGTACTTTCAGTGTGCCTATTATATGTATTCTTTTCGTCGCTATCAGGTGAATGGTCTCATCTTCCGCGACGAATATTTTCTTAAAGTCTAGATTCCTGGGAAGTAATGGCTGTATGAATGTCAGTCAGAAGATCAATCAATTTCACTTTTCTCACTACTTACTCCTTCCGCAGACCATGTTGTCACTGAGCCGGACATTTTGGGTTAATTCTGATGAAAATTATACTATTTCTGGCTTATTCGGAGTAGAATGTATGTTTGATAATGAATGCAATTTATTTGACAGTGATGTTTCGTATCGGAGAAAAAGTACGACGGTGCAGGCCGAGTGATATGTGAATTAGGTACGTATATAGAAAGAGCGATAAATTAGCGTTGCACTGAGATAAATACAGATCATGCCATATGGACCTTCTTCATGAAGTATAGCGAATAGGAAACTACCACTCCGTGGATGATATGACGCTTTCCAACAATCTTCGATGAGCCAGTTTAGACTTAATTAAGAGGATACTCCTCAGGCTCTGATACTCATAGCGATATTCTTTGCCTCTAAAATTTGGCTGGGTAATCGACAAATCAAAAATCTTTGAAACTTGGAAGCTTAAATATTTAAAATATGGAAAAAGATATGTCCGGAGGCGTGAGTTAGTGTCCATCGCATGAATCCAATATGAGAACATCGGGCATAGATTGCCCAGTTTGGTGTTATGCCGTGCAAGATTTAGTTTACACCAAATTCATTTCGTTCAGACATGCGCTTCTACATATTATATACGCTACAAGTAAGTAGGAGGATTTTCGTTTAAAAATGTGATTGCTGGGACATTGTCTGGGCTCACAAATTGGAAGATTCTCGTCAGCGAGAGCTAGTTTCCAGAAAGTTGAGATTGTGGTTAAGGGATTTTGGACCGAAAATTGAACGGCAAGGCACCTTTTATGTTAGCATAGAGTGGTGTTTGGAACTAGCCATGCTCCTTTCACGCAGAGCTTTATTGAGGGAGGAAAACTAGAGCAAGAGAACTCACTTGTAGAGATCTGCCGAAGGGGGTCCAACTCTATATACATGAAAAGGTAAAGATTATAAGTCATACATGTGAGAGTTACTTAAATGCTTGCATTTTTGCAGAAATTTCAGCTCGGGAATTATTTTGAGATCATGAGATGTATTGCTTGATATTTACATCATATGCAAGATTTCAATGGGCGTTAATTATATATAAGATTGAAAGTACATAATATATGTCAGCGGACAGAAGTGGTAATGGATCGACCCATCTAAGTGAAATAGTATGCACGTGAGAAACTACTTCGCTCGGAGTAATAGTTGTTTGTCTGGAACTCACATGATCTTCTATTTTCCGGCCATCACTCCGTAGCATCGACTTATTAATAAGAGTGTATCATCCGTTATTTTCTTCTTGCTATCTGAATATTGAAAACGACGCCTAGATAACTCTGTGCTAACACTCGAGAGTTCATCGAACCATCAAGCCCAAGTCAGAAGGTTGTGAATAATTAAAAATATAGGACATAATAGAGAGAAAGGCCATCAAGACATCATATTTGCTTTTTATTTTATTTTATACCTCTCCCAGTGTCAGATGGCACTGCGATGGTTCTGTGATGTTGGGCACGGCAACCGCTGCTAATCACTTGAAAGAAAGTTTCTAATACTGCTCCATTCCAGTTAATTAATGATAGCTACCACTGAATATTGCTGTATTGGGTTTAAGACGCCTGTACCCACTCAGAAATACGCTAATACTTAAACTTGACTCCTCCCCCTTCTTGCAAGCAACATCCTCTTCCATCTTTACAAATACAAATACATCATCAATCTTCTCCCCATAATTCAAATTTTCAAAGAAATATCGGTATAATCAGATACATTTGATCTTCACGATGCCTCCAGCCAAAAAGAGAAAGCTCGACTCAAAATACAATGGACCAACGTCCCCAATCGTCCATACCTTTCATTTGCCTGGTCATGAAGCCGACGTTAAACTAAAAATATTTGATGAATTGCAGCTCCATGTTCACTCAGTGGTCTTGAAGCTCCATAGTGCTTTCTTCCGAAGATTTCTGGATCCATCCAATAAGAATGGCAATGGTGAAGACACTGGAAGTTTCAAATATGAATGGGCAACAGTCTACGACGATGATGGAAGCTGGAGTTTGGTTGACGCCAGGAATATTAAAGTGGGTTTTTGAATTTCATGAATGGACAATCTTGCTGAATTTCCACACGTAGCATGACAATCCAAGCTCAAATTTGATGCCGAGACAAATAAAACGTAACCAAAAACTACATGAGACAGCGTTCATAAACTTCATCGGTACTTTCTACGGGAAGTTATGGGTAATCAAAAATACTGAAGCTTTGCAGCTGGTCACCGAACTCGCCGATTATTATTGCGCTCTTCCAGTTGTTTCAAAATCGATGCATGGGGGCTTTTTCATAAGCCCTGAATTTTGCAAAAGAATTTTCTTTAGCAATAAATTGACTTTGCTCAATTTAGCATTGAGATTACGTTCTCCAGAGCTCTTTCGGGAATGCATGATATGCTTAGTTGGAAGGTGGCAAGACATCACTCGCGAATATCCAGTTGAAAGCCAACCTGAGATGCTGTATAACCCAAAGCTTGCAAACCCGAAGCTAAACGAGTTAGCGATCAAGCTGCATAACCAAATGTGTATCAGAATATCAGCGACGCAACGACAAATTGTTTTCTGTTGTCAAGTCGACTCGAATGCTCTAGAAATCAAGGCCAAAATCGAAAAATGTTATCTCGAGAAAATGAAGTTGAGAGAGACTGAACAAGGGGTCTACCGTGGCCAAGTTTCACTCCCTGAATACTTTCAAGCGTTTGGAGAAGAGTCTTCAGGAGTTTTTGCGCGAGCTGTTAGTGACATATTGAAAAACGAACTTATCTTCAACAAGTCTTTACGGGCTGGGGATATTCTATTTCCTGGAAAGACACATAAAGATGTCCAGTCACATTTTCTATGTGCAGAGATTAAAGACGAGGATCTACCGGTAAGCAATTTCATCACCTCCTAAGGAAATTTTTAGTAGGCCTGTATAACCTTCTTTTGTCCGAGAACTGCGATGATGTTATATTTGTGAGGTATTTGTAACACTAACATGATTTTAGTGGGATCTTAACGAAACCGATTGGTGAGAAACTTTTTCGATAGGGCTGCAATTATGTTAAGCGAATCGCGTTGGAAGGCCCGATGGAGCTGTTTTTTTTGTTTGTTTCACAGCTGTGTTTGTACTGGATGAGATAAGACATGATCACATTTTGTTCACTGGAGTAATAATATTAGGTAGCTGTGCTCGCAATAATACATGTCATCTATACGCAGAGGCTTTCGCAGCTTGTGATAGTTACCAGATCATAGACAGGGGTTTTGCTCTCTTCACTGAATGCTTGCTCATACAAACGATCATGGCGCTCATAATCTTGTTAGTTAAGACGAGAGAGTATTCAAAGATGACACTGTGCGAAACAATTTGCAAAAACAGTTTGCGTGGCCGGAATGTACGCAAGTGCTCTTCTGGTGCCCAAATCTGTATGAATGAATATATCGGGACACTCCAATCATGTTCAGATATCAATGACCAATCAAGATTGTATGGGGTTCTCAGACATGCAGGGTTGCGGTCTTCGCAAGCTTCGGATGACTGTAGATGCTGGCTGCTGAAGTGCAAGTGATTATCAACTACTCAGGAAAGAAAGTCTTCGACGAATTAGACAGACAAGCATTGCAGAGACTTTAACACTAGACTATAGATAGACGATTGCTTTGGTAGTATATTTAATGTCATTTGATCTCCTGGTATCTACAGGTCCGATATTACAAACGAATGAAAATTTCCCTTGGAGACCCGGGAAATAATAGAATATACGCTCATGTCACTATGTGTACGCATTGTTATTCGAATCATTTGAGTTTTGGTGAATTAATATACTGCAGAATTCATTTAGTGAATTTGTTTTGGGAATGCGATCTTGTGACTGTGTGGAGTGCCGTGATAGGAAAGAAGTTAGATGATATTAAGGTTTTGAGCAAAGGTTAAGAGAAGCAGGAAGCCGTCTACATTTAACTCTTTGGTCATCATGGCCAAGAATTCCGCGGCGGGGTGATTACCGATATCAATACCGGTAGTATGATATTCAGATTCAGAAGCATGGAGGTGCAATTTTTCCTCACTTCCCCCTGACCCAAGTAAATATATAGCAATGACTCTTCAATAATACTCAAAGAGATAATGAGCACGAGTAGAATATGTAACATCCGAGTCCGCAATTTGGGGAGAAGGTGGGAAAAATTGTTGGTAATGAATATCTACTGAACAAATAAATCAATACAGTGTCTGAGAGAACACATTATACGCTGGTTTATTAACAGGAGCCGTACGTGCCCGCCACGCCGGCTAAATTAGCGAAACTAGCGCGCCTAGATTTCTCACTTATTTTCCTCTTACTCTTCTTCAAGACTCTTACTTTCAAACATTTCACACTCATAGTCTTTACTTCAGAATTCATCTAACCTAACAGCAAAGAATTTATACCATTGTAGTTTCAACAGGAGCGATCATGGATCAAACTCAAAGACTATCCCCAAAGCTTAAGGTGTTTTCACTTCCCGACCAAACACCTGATACTAGATTTGTCCTGTTCGATGAAATAGAAATCCATTTACATTCTACAGTTTTGAAACTACACTCGGCATTCTTCCGCAAGTTTCTTGACTCTCCAGACAAAAAGCCTGCAGAGCCGTCAGCAGAATTCCGATACGAATGGGTCAGCGAGATTGAGGAGGATGGCGAATGGCACATGGTTGAGAAATCCCACGCAGTAGGTTCATTAAATCTTCATGATTGTTTAGTTTTGAATGACGACTAACGTTGATCATAACGCAGAAGCCAAATAATAATCTCTTGTCGGAAAATACATTCTGGGATATGGAGGTCCTCGTCTTCATCGAGATGCTCAACGCACTATACCGTATTCCCTATAAGATCTGGGCGACCCGACTGTTCATCGTCACCAAGATGGCAGATTATTATTGTTGCCTTCCGGCAGTCTCACACAATCTCTTTGCTTGTTTCGACCAAAGCAATAACGAATATGTCGCAGAAAATGCTGTCCACCTTCTTGATATTGCCTACAAGCTTCGTCAACCACTTCTCTTCAAAGACTGCCTCATTCACGTTGCTGGTTATATGCCTTCTGACTCCCGCAATTTTCATCATTTGTGCAACAGGGTGATCTATGATGTCATGATGAAAGCACGTAATGAGGTTAATCGACGAGTAGTTGAAGCCCAGAAACGTCTCATACTATCTACACCTAGCGAGGAGCGCTCGAAACTTCTAAGCCACAGTTGGGAGGTTGGCTTCGAGGAAACGGAAGGACAGCTGAGCCTGCCTCGTTACTTCAGACTTTTGGCGGAGCACGATGGCGAATTCGCCAGTGCCCTGTCTAACGTGCTCCAATGCGAGTTACGTTTACCGTATGAAGTCAGTCACGAAGCGGGTGCCCGTGATCTCAATGATACGGACCACTTTTATTGTGCAAGGTTGTTAGACAGAGATCTACCAGTACGTAAGATCGATTCTCTTGATTTGAGCTAATTTTTCTCTTAAATTACTGACGCTTATGTACTTATTAGTGGGACCCGACCGAGACCGACTGGTAAACAACGCATAATGGTCATCTCGAAGAGATATTGCCTGTACGTATCATCCATTTATCTGGTTTTAGTGCGGAGAACATTTTTCAAGCGTCGCATCGAAGTCAACACTAATGAACAAACAGAACTCAAGGTTACAGATGTGTAGTCTACAACGGAGCATCGTTCTTTTATAACATCCCGCCATGGTAGGTGGGAAAGGCAAAAACAGTGCGCTCATTTCTCAGAGTATCAACTCATTTCGGCTGTTTATCGCGTATCTTAAAAGGTGCCAAATATCGTGGACATAGTAGCTAGTCTAAATAGCAATACCAGATACTGTACCCTTTGAGTCTTTTTCCTTCAATTGAGTTTGTAAAATTGAAGCTTAACTTGCACTTGGAGGTACATTGTCTCAAATGCACTCGCAAGTAGACTGTGAGATGGGTATCCGCAGAGCAGATGAAGAGTCTTGCAGATACTCTGTAGACAGCTTGTGAGCAATTTGTATGGTTTCTGCGTAGCTTCTTCCAAATCTGGGTAGGTCGAGTTTCTGAGAATGCTCTTGAAGAAATGTGGTATCTTGACAATCCCAATAAAAATCAAACGACAGATATTGTATATTGTATCAGTCATGTGATACAATAATAGTGAATATGAGGAGTTGGATACGCGAGTACCAGGAAGGTCTGCGCTGCCGCCATATGAACGACGCTAAGGTTTTCATCTTCGATTTCTCTTTGCCTCTTTTTCCAAAACGCATTCAGCAAAGAATAACGATGGCAGGAGCCGCTCTATCTGATGGAGGGTCAGCACCCCAGATACAGATCAAGAAGTTCGATGTCCCAGGCCAGCTTCCAGATACCCGATTTCGTCTCTTTGGAAAGATGGAAATTCATGCCCATTCACCTTTACTCAAAATCCATTCTGCCTTCTTTCGAAAATTTATGGATTCTCCAGACAAGATAGCTGCAAAAGCTGGAGCGGCCTTTGCATATGAGTGGGTTGATGAGGTCGATGATGATAGTTCTGGATGGCATGTCGTTGCTGATAGTAATGTATGAAGGTATCTGCCCTCCTATACATTTCACGAATACTAACTGGGGTGAAATCTAGAAAAAGAGTTCAAATAAATTATCGGAGGGCATGTCAGAGCCAGCAATAGAAGTCTTTGTCAGCATGCTTAATTGCATTTATCGCATCCCATTTAAGACCGAACCAATGCAATTGATCGAAGTTACAAAACTTGCAGATTATTATCGTTGTTTGCCAGCAGTGTCAAACAGTCTGTATGCTTGTTTCTATATGAGCCCTAATTTTGATATTCACAAAGCGCGCGATCTCATCGAGTCAGCGTACAAACTTCGTCAGCCATTATTGTTCAGAGACTGCATCATCTATATTGCTGGCAGTATGCAACAGACGACTTTATTCCTGCACGAGATCAAGAATTCCAATGCCCAACAGGCTCTGCAACAGGCACTGCTGACTGTACGGAACAAAATCTTCGAAAGCCTTGTTGGAGCCCAAGAAGTGGTGCATTTGACGGCTTCTAATGATGATGAGCCACTGTTCAAGATAATGAAGGATGTTAGCATCAAAGTATCGGAAAATGGAAACTTTTCCCAGCCAGAATTTTATAGGAAACTAGTTGATCGGGAAGAGAGATTTTCAGAAGGCTTAGAGGAGGTGCTTTCCGGAAATTTGCAGCTGGATAGTTCAGCCTTGGCGGGAATCGGTGATTACTACAATCATTTTCTCTGCGCAAGTTTAAGCGACGAGGAACTACCAGTAAGTGTGATTGAACTACTGATCTGGATACTACACAATCCACACATGAATATTCTTGACTTGCTCTATACTAACATTGACCTTGCAGTGGGACACTACAGAAACCGATTGGTAGCTGTTTAATACTCTACCATCAATGGTTGATCAAGAGTTCTCCGCACTTGCTCTCACGACCTATACGCCCGTTAGCTCTACTCAAAACGCGACTTACTTCACCATGAACCAAGCCTTCTCTCAAGTAGATTGCCTTCCTCATTGCATGCACAAACAAGCCAAAGATTACTTACGAGCATTACACGAGTGGTCTTGATGTTAAGTGGTAGTGGTCGTCGTGGGGAATAAATAGATAATATTGATCTGGAAAGCTTTGCATGTTTCATTGCATTAAATTTGGGTCTGGGGTAATCTGGTACGAACAGTCACCAGAAGGCTTACATTCACCCGCCAAACTTCTATTAAAGGGTCCTCATAAAACCTATTTTTCCGTCTCGATGACCATGTGATGTCCTTTATGATCTTGAAGATATTCCGTGTATCAATTCCGTGGGTTGCATCAACCCATTGGATCGAGTAGATTGATCAGTAGTCATACGTAAAGGCCTTTATCGTGTGATTTATAGTCCGGACAGAAGTGTCTATCTATCGCTTAACTCCAACTGTCAACTTTGTTAGTCTTACTTAGATAAATATACACGCAGAGGAACCGATTAGTACCAATTACCTAATTTCTATGCCATGATTTACTTAAGATGTAGTTGCTGGTTACAATCCTAAGATTGTCAAACGCTGATTTCCTGCAGTGTAACCATAGCAATGTGCTAACTTGTCATCAACACGTGATATACCCAATGAGGATGGGCTTCCAAGGATTCCTCCGGACACCTGTATTTCCCCGCCTAACGACATCTCATCACTTTAAGCACTTTGATTCTTACTTCAACTATTCCTCATCTCTTCCTTTTCTTTAGTTGGTGAAGTGAGACATTTAAGTTGTCGTTCATAGACATTCATACCATATTCACACATTAGTCAAAGCTTGCGGGAACATTTTGGAACTGGAACGTCGCGCAACCGCGTCAAAATCAGCTCATCAGCTCTAGCCAAAAATCCATTCAGTCTGTCTGTCTGTCTCGAATCACCTGTTACCTGCTACTATAAACGTACATCTAGTCAGACACGATCATGCCTTCTCCCGAAGTTGTGACATTTTACATCCCGGGACAAGAGCCCGACACTCGGATCACCATTTTTCAGCTCAAAGAATTGCGAGTTCACTCTAGTATTCTGAAGCTTTATTCTGCTTACTTCCGGAAGTTTATGGACTCTCCTGACAAAGAATCGGCTCCTCCCAGCGCAATGTGGAAATATGACTGGACTGGAAAGGTTGAGCAAGATGGTAGCTGGTATGTTGTTGATAGAAGAGGTCAAGAATCCAAGGTCAGTCTGATTTACTGGCAGCTTGACATATGGTAGTGAAGATGGTAGATTGTTGAAAGGTTGTCGAACAAAGTCCTGTTTGCATATGCTACCATGAGATTAACCTTACTGGAATCACCCCAGTGGATTGAATCCTTGAAATGATTTGGGTCTCCAGATATATTTCAGTCTCCCATTTATAATTTGAGATGTCGAAGAAGATCGCCGTATTGCGATATCTCCGACATGACTCCGAGAGTGTGCCATGCATAGTTCAAATATCCACCGTAATGGTTATTCGTATCCACTATTCTGACATATGCTACAGAAACAACGAGGTGCAACTAGCTGTAGTGATCTGGATATTATGGCCTTTGAAAATATCATCATGAGTATGTACCAAAAGCCTTACGAAATCACAAGCACAGCGCATTTGCAAGAGATTACAGCCTTGGCCGATTTCTACCGTTGCCTACCCGTGGTATCAAATTCTCTCTACTCAGCCTTCTTCCGCAGCCCGAAACTTCTTGCCAATATAAAAGATCATAGGGAGCTGTTGCTAGAATTGTCATGTAAACTAAGACATCGCGAGCTTTTCAACGACTGCCTCGTTCTGATTTCTGGGTATTGGCCTCCCGACCAGCTACCATTCAAGACAAAAATAGAGGATAAAAGACTTGCAAGGCTGGCTGAGAACGTACACAACCGAGTGGGAGCAGTCCTAGCCAGAAGTATACAGAACATACTTGTGAACAAGTCCGCGCCAGATGCTGGAAAACTTTTAAATGCTGCAGTATCTGTAACCAGAGGCTCACTCGTACAATACCACGTGAGACTGTAGAAATTTCTTTTACTCTCGGATATCATGAAAGATATCACCAAAAACAAACTAAAGTTGAATACTTCTGCAGTAGCTGGGGAGGGGGAATATATCCACAACTTTCTATTCATTGAATTGGAGGAGGAAGATATTCCTGTGAGTTCTGAGTGTCAACGGGTATAAATCCCAGATTCAAGAACAAGGCTGATATTTTACTAGTGGGATACTACTGAGACTGACTGGTAAGAGCACAATAAGATGGGTAGGATTTCGGTACTCCGGATTGCAGTCCGAACATGAAGTGTTCCTAGTCCTCGACTTCCGTTTACACAATGAAACCATTCTCAAATAAAACACACAAGGAAAATTCAATCTACCTCGTGCATCCAACTTTGATTTCTCGTTTGCAAATTCTGAACAGCCGTTTCTCTTGTTTTCTTTTTCTTTTATTACTTTCTATCCCGACTGCTGCAACTCTAGGCGTGGCCAAAGGCACAGGACTTGTAGCGAGAATGCTCGATATTCCACATACAACTTTACGGTTGAATCATCACAATAAGCCAAATAAGAAGACACACTGGTGGCCGAATTGTTCTGGAATGCACAACTTTTCATACTGCAATAACAACAATTTCATTAAACCGACCTCGCTAATTGGTAGCACCCCTCAGCGCCATTGCCCCCAGAACCATGATTTCTAATTCTTTCCTCTCATCCACTTTATTCTCAGCTTTTCCACTCACGCCATTCGCACCACCTTTCTTTCCACCACCGCCAAGAGCGTTCAACTTGTAAAGCTTTTTCACCCTTGCAATATCTACCATACTCGCTAAAGACTCTTCATCAAATAGAACAGGTTCGCCTTCAATTACGGACGAAAGATGTTCCGAGATTTGAGATGCAGAGGATGCGGGTGCTACTTTTACGACGAGGAGAGAGGTGGTGGTTGGGGTTATACCGAAGCGACGGAAAGATTCTGCGATCTTGAGAGGGAGTTAGTCTATTCATTCGGGAGACTTGCTGAACCTTATAGCGATAGAAATGATGAATGTGCGATAAATATCATTTCATATGATTTAGTGTGTCTTGACACGTGACCATGTACTGATTGAGTGTATCATGAGGAGGAGATGAACACCGAATAGGAGGGGGGAAGCACAAGCGAACATACATTATTATTCATACTCAGCGAGAAAACAATCTCCGAATGAATATTACGACTCTTTAATCTTTCTTCCAAAGCATCGTTTATTGCTCTATATGCTGCTGCTAAAATGTGTAATTTTGAAAGTACCTATCCAGTCCCCGATTACGAGATTAGTCACGTGATGATATAAAATGAATCTGATGGTGGGGCAATGGAGGGGTTATGAGTAATTTGAGAGGGAGAAAAGAGGAGGGAAAGATGGAGAGAACGTACAACGCTCGCATCGATAAACGCATATTCGAAATCGGTGTTTCCGGTAAGAAGTTGTTGGTGGAGGAAAGAGGCGTTGGTGAGGTTGCGGTATAAGGCGATGTGGAGGGTGTGCGATTCGGGGAGATGTTCTAAGGAGATGGTTTGGAGGAGCGCGGGCGCCATGTTTGGGGTCTGAGATGTGGGAGATGGGGGAGTTTCTGTTGTAATATTGGGGAAGTGGAATTGGTGGATTGTTGTTTGGTTGGCTGGAATTTGATTTTGGTCGTAGGCGCATGGAGATGGTGTCTGTGATATTCCTGGGGAAATACGACGAATCACGTGATCTCAATTTGATCTGGGATTTTGGGACACCGCCAATGGTGTTGTGATGGATGTATCTGGTTGTATTTTTTACTAGATGTACGAAAGGTCTACATCTATATGAACTACGGTATGATGCCAACGTGTGTAATAATTGCTTTATTTTCCCACGTTTTTCGGACTGTTCGCTTTGTTACGACTGAGATACTTGGCTCGAGCTTGAGTTTCCGAATCTACGATTCATCGCGATGAGCGGAAGACTTTTCCTGAGAAACAGCAAATTCTCGATCTTCTTCTCTTAGCGCTCTGTTCCAACTTTCAAGAGAGAAGCATTTTCAATACGAAAATAGAAGGTCGTAAATGCATTGTAATTGGATGTCGATCAACGAAGCGTCTCTTGGCTCAAAGGTTATTTTCGCGCTCCTCGCTAAAGGTGGGTTTTTTCCATCCATACGAGGTGCCCGGCGACCTCTTGAATCCCGACAGTAAAGACTATTCTCTTCTAAATTTGTTAGGAAAGATGTCGGTTCCAGAACCAGCCAAGATCTTTCTTTGTGGTACTTCAATCACAGAAGGTCAATGTGCCAAGCCATTCCTGAGCTGATATTTTGAGACTCTCGTCGTTGTACTTTTTCAATGCATGGGGGATGCGGGGGACAAAGAAAAAGCCACGTGTGAGCCATGTTTTTCAAATTGGCCCTATGGAATGAGGGGAGTGTCATTGCTTGGGGCTGGGTATTCCCCGGGATATGCGGATTAGTTGAGAGGAAAGGGATAGAAAGGGGATTGTGTGACGGGTGGCTGGTGGTGTTGCATCCCCGAGGGGCGCGGAGAGAGAGTGCCATAATCTGATAGTCAGATTCAAGATATGGGATTGAGTATGTATCGTAGATATCAGTGCCAGGGAGGGGAAGACATCGTTGATCTTCCCCGGTTCTTGCAATAAGGTTGAGGGGGAGGCAAGGAGTTCAAACATTCTACATGAACATTTCTATACGGTCTAGAATCAGAATCGAGCACGGCATTGGGAATGAGTTATAGAAATCTGTGAGGCGATCCTGAGCAATTTGGAATATTTTTCGTCATTCAATGGGTAGGTGTGTTTAGTTTGAATACCAAAATGATATAAAAAGGGGCTTTTTGACATATAAAGCTACGGAAACATCCAGAATTCAGGGACAAAAAAGGAGAAAGGAGTTCGACCTTAGATTGATCGTTGATGTACGAGGGAGCTTTTGTTCTAAGGTTATTCTTATGATTCTAATTTCTCGAGAGGATAATATACTCTTCCTCCTCTTCTTTTAGTATATCGTTTTAGGACGACGTATGTAGAAGCTTTTGTTGTCCCTTAATCCTAAAGCTTGATACACCATTTTCTTTATTCTTGAAATAGAATGCCTTAGCATTCATCCATATTATATCTCCAAACAAGGTCCATCTAGATGTTCTATCTTTAACAACTTTCATTTCTTCATCCATATATTTGACATATGTATTCCCCTTCATCATAGATGGCCATCATATCCATCTTTACCTTCATGATACCACCTAGACAGATGTGATCTTCTCCCATCATCACTGTATGAGGATTATCCTTCATCTCTTTCCCACATGTTGAACTTTGGGTGATAAGTGTTACTGGGGGGAAAATTGTATTAATCCTTTCATCACTCGAATGAGGGAGAAATAGATGCCTGGACTCCAAGGCCGAAACCTTATCCAATTCCATCTCAATCGGTACTAGCTTCCAAGAGAAAGAACACAATCCAATTCAATTGGCTTTCGCCGCTCACAATGATATTTCATGGTGGTCTCGGTGTACAATTGTCGCAATTCAATTCACCTCGTACTCAGAATAATCACCAAGAGCGACTCAATCGACAATTTGACTTATTAAATCCTTATACCATTTCTTCATGGCAATTCCAAGGATCAGTATTAGGAGAATCCAATAGTTCCAAAGTATCGGCGGACAATATAATTGAGAACCGACAGAACCGACGGATTGGGTGTCCAACGGCTTCTTCCACCTCAGTACATAATACGGCGTTTTCCGGCGCATTGATTGCGACGATGCCTCCAAAACGAAATGCTTCAGGTGAACCAAATGGTTCAAATGCGCCGGTTGCTAAGCACATTAAATCGGAACAACATCCCGAAGAATTCTCAAATACTGTGAAGAAGAAGTTGTTGGCGTCAACGAGAACTGGTCAAGCTTGCGACCGTTGTAAGGTTAGTGAGTTAGTCAGTAGTGGGCAATGGAAAGATGGGATGAACGATGATGTTGCGCGCTGTTGATAGTGTTTCAATTGACTAATGATGGTGATTTACTAAATATAGGTCCGTAAGATAAGATGCGATGGATTGGCGGGTGGTTGTTCGCCATGTATTCAAAATCATAACGAATGTAAAACGACCGATAGAATAACAGGTCGTGCGACATCGCGGGGTTATGTCGAGGGAATTGAACAACAAAATCGAGATCTGCAACTTCGAATTCAGGAATTGGAGCATCGATTAATGCAAGGTGGTGCGGATATCAAACCTGCGAATGGTTATCCGGATTCAGCATCGGGACAATATGGTTATGGTCAGTCTTCAAATGGCATGCAATCAACATGGAGTACGACAGGTCCAGCATATACTTCACCAACTTCAGCCACGGCAAATAATGGCCAGCAGCAAGAAACCAATATGTTTCGCGCATTGCCTGCTTATCGCGCTGGATGTATGGGGGATAATTATCTCGGAGTATCGCCTGGAAGTTCTCACCTGAGCGCAATTAAAGGGACCGCTTTGTCGATTCTAGGCATGGAAATTGATATCGCGGACTTTCGTTCAACAGACATGGATGAACCAGATCCTTCGGTCTTCCATCCTCAACTATACAATAAATCATATCAGTCGTTCCTTCAATCGGCTTGGAATGTAAATCCAAGGATTGAAAAGGTCGAATTGCCAGCACGTTCAGAGGCTATCATTTATGCGGAATGGTATTTCCGTGTTATTAACCCATATTGTCCTCTACTCCATAGAGGTACTTTTATGAGATTGGTATGTGTACTACAGTCGAGATAGAAGTTTCTTTGGCTAACAACACAGTTATCTCGCATGTATGATGATCCTACCTTTCGCCCCACCACTGCTGAGAATGTCATTGTTCATATGCTCTTCGCAATCATGTTCTTTCAGTATGCGACCAGAAATTGGGAAGATGCGGAACAACAAGCTAGTTTGAATTCTCAATCAAATACGCATTATCATTACTGTCTTGGCATGTTTTATCAACTGGCATGTAGTCACACGGCACAAGATATTCAAGCATTGGCCTTAATCTGCTTGCATCTTCGAAACTTCCCTAAGCCGGGAGCCAGTTGGGTGCTTGCAAGAATGGCAATGACTCTTGCCATTGAGCTTGGCCTTCACCGATCAATGAAGAGATGGGCACCTGAATCGAACACCCTTAGTGAACTCGATATCGAAATGCGCCGACGAACATTTTGGGTCATCCTTGCTGTCAATGTCACTCTCAGCGGTAAGCTTGGCCGTCCAATGCCCCTTCGAAATGAAGATTACGACGTCGAATGCCCATCACAAATTGATGATGACTATATTCCCGGAGACGGTATAGATCCACCTAATCCAATAAAGTGTAACCATGAGATTGGAATTCAAGGTTTCAAACTTATACCATGTTATTTGGAGCTTTATTCAACAATCTATTCAATTTCTCGCCAGCCAAGTACGTATGTTGCGACTGTCAACAGATTGGAGGCAAAGATTCGTGCTTGGAAAGATGACTTGCCCCCAGAGCTTGTCAACGGAGAATTAGGACATAATGAACAAGAAGGACGAGTCTTTGCTCTTTATGCTCAATCTTGGTCTCAAGAGTTTCGTCTTCTTCTTCGCCATCCATCAGTTTCTATGACCACAGATCCAGATTTCAATGCGGAAAGTATGAGAATTTGTGTAGAGTCTTCTCGGCAAATGTTAGGAGTTGTTCGCCAATTACAAAAGTACAAGAGTCTTGATACGACTTGGTACAATACCTCAGTATTTGTTATGGCACTAACCACTACACTCTTTGCGCAATGGGAGAAACGAGGAGGGACTTCATCAGCTGATTTGGCTGCATTGAGAGAAGAGATGGACATTTGGTTGGATATTATGGGTGACATAGGTTCGCTACTTGGTAAGTGACAATTCATTGAATTGAAACTAGTTTACTAATTGATGCTAGGTTCCGGAACACGGCTCAAGAAAGCTGTGCAAGTTGTCACCGATGGGACCCTTGGATTACTAAGTCGAAATTTACCTGCTAAGAATGACAAGAGCTACGCTTCGAATAATAATGGTCAGGAAGAAGTTAGACCTACGGAGCAAACATCGAATACCAATGGAAATAATGGTTACCCGGTAAATGCTCAAAACTACAATTATAATGAACCAACTTCTGCTACGGGGAGTGCGCCTGCACCTAACTACTCGCCCTCCGAAGGTCAAATGTCTCATCAACAGACACCATATCCAGCTGCAACTCAATATTCACCATATCTTGAATCGGCTTCTAACACTTCAGATTTGACATATGCGCAACCAGAAAATCAAGGCTATGGAGGATATCCGGCCTCAACTAGTGACTCTGTAGAAGCACCATTGATTGCTGCGTTAGCTGCTCAGGCATCTCAGGTCGCCCCTAATACGTGGCAAAGAAATTCGACTCAGGTCAACACAGCACCAACGCAAGCCTGGCAGCATTGGACATCTACTGTCACAGGGAACCTTGAGCCACAAGAATGTTACTCGGCAAGTGCTCTAATGCAACTAGGAGGAAGAGATATGAGTAATGGTGACACAACACAATTGAATACATCGATGGGCGATGTTCAAAGCGGAGGCGTTGGTGAGCCAGGACATTTGGGTGGTCAAGTTTCGGGAGCTATCGCGGGTGCCCCTACTTGGCCGTTGAACCTTTTTGATATTGGTGTCAATGGTTCGACGGGTTGATCTTCTTGGATTTTCTACACGTGATTAAAATTTCTGTGCATATTATGATGGTGGATGGAGATGACTGGCGTATCAAGGACGGGAAAAGATAGAAAAGCATGGTGCAATGGACGGGCCGGTTGGCTTACTTGGAGTTATTGGGCGGTGGACAGGGATTACATACCAGGTAGGTGGATTGCATAGTATAGTATTGGTTTGGTTGTTTGGTTTGGCTTTTGCCTAGGAGATTCCTGTATTATATTATGAAAGCGAAAGGGGGCAAAGGAGGAGCGCAGATGGGTGAATAGAGAGGAAGCCCAAATAGCAGCGAATAATAATGAATCTCAAGCAATCAACGGTGTGATATTCTCATCAGACGGAAACATTTCCTTGAGCCCCTATATCCAAGAACGCTCGAGGCAGGTGATTCCATACTCGGTAGACTTGTTTCATTTTAGTCCAATTCCCCTACAAATGAACAGCTTGGGCGTCGAGGCGTACCAGGATTCCTAGGTATTCAAGTAGATCCCAAAAGGTCCCATCTTACACATGATTGAATAAAGTGAAATAAGATTGAAGACATATAGATGAATTAAGGATAGCCTTGCATGAAAGGCTGCGTTAGTAGCGGTAGGGGGGAACAGGATTAGTCTTTCAAGGGTCGCGCTAAGAATTCATGCGGAAGGTGGGTCATTTGGAGTTGACGGGCCAACCATGTTTTCCCGAGAAATGAAAGTTTCACGAACAAACCCAAACACATATGGATAGACATATCATGGGTATATGGGCATTGTCAAATTCGACAGACACGACCACTTCACGACTTTCCTTCCCGGTATTTGTTTTTAACAGTCAATACTAATCAGATACAGCTGTATTGTGATTCTTCTTTCGCATTTATTGCACTCTTTAATTCTTCCTTAACATCCAAGTCGATCTTGTATAATTGAATTCACTTTGGCGGTCTGTTGATATTGACTTCAGCTGGAGAACAATACATCTAAGAGGAACACGATTGACACCGATAAGATGTCGTCAGGCGCGTCTTCGATCTCTGTCACTGGTATGGATATTATGATAATCGTATGGGGCGCACTTTTGCTAACAATTGCCAGTTCGTGTCCGACCTTTTACTATTCAAGAAGCCGCGCAAATGTTCGTACCTACATACTCAACTTCTCAAAGCCCATAGCATTATACCTTGATCGACTACTTACATTCTATAGTACAAAAACCGATGATGGCATATCATTTCTGGGAGAGGGCTCATTGGCAGGAGCTCCTACTCCAAAGCTTGGTGGGAGAGGAATTCATCCTGTCATAAAGGTTATTGATGATAGATGCCTGTACGTATTGCGAAAGAAACAGCACTTCAAAGGTCTAACATTCGCAGTGTGTTCGATCCTCCACAAGATGCCCCTATAACTCGATTTCAATCGAAAGTAGTATCGAACATGGGCAAACGAGTTAAAGATCAAACATTCGCATTCGATCGGGTTTTCGATGATAACACAACACAAGGAGATGTTTACGAATCAACAACGAGAGGTCTTTTGGACAATGTACTTGATGGTTATAATGCTACAGTCTTCGCATATGGTGCCACTGGTTGTGGTAAAACTCACACGATCACAGGAACGGCCCAACAACCTGGTATCATTTTCTTAACTATGCAGGAACTCTTCGAGAAAATCAGCGAAAGGGCTGAAGAAAAACAAACGGAAATCACATTATCCTACCTGGAGATTTATAACGAGACAATTCGAGATCTTCTGGTTCCAGGGGGTAGTAAGGGGGGTTTAATGTTAAGAGAGGATGCCAATCAAGCGGTATCAGTCGCGGGGTTATCGAGTCACAAACCTCAAGATGTTCAGGAAGTCATGGATATGATTGTTAAAGGAAACGAATATCGAACCATTTCTCCAACTGCGGCCAATGCAACATCTTCTCGATCTCATGCAGTCCTACAAATCAATGTCGCGCAAAAGGATCGCAACGCATCAGTAAACGAACCACATACAATGGCGACTTTGAGTATCATCGATTTAGCCGGTAGTGAACGTGCGAGCGCGACAAAGAATCGAGGTGAACGACTGATCGAGGGTGCGAATATCAACAAATCCCTTCTCGCCCTTGGTAGCTGTATCAATGCTCTTTGCGATCCTCGAAAGAAAAATCACGTCCCATATCGAAATTCAAAATTGACGAGACTATTGAAGTTTTCTCTCGGTGGAAATTGCAAGACTGTCATGATTGTATGTGTCAGTCCTTCCAGTGCGCATTTCGACGAAACCCAAAACACCTTGAGATACGCCAACCGAGCCAAGAATATTCAAACCAAGGTCACCAGAAACGTCTTCAATGTCAATCGTCATGTCAAGGATTTCTTGGTCAAGATTGATGAGCAGATGGCTATGATCAATGAGTTGAAGGCTCAGCAGAAAGATGCTGAAGCCATTGCATTCGTAAAATTCAGAAAGCAGGCGGAAAAGAGAGACGCCATTACACGTGAGGGTGTAGCGCGTATTCGTGCAGCTTTTGAAAACTCAGTAAACGACCGACAAGAAAAGGTCAACCAGATGAAGAAACTTCGACAAATCGAACGTCGCATTAGTGTACTATCCTCCTGGATTGCATCATTCGATAACGTTTGTGATTCTCGGGATGATGAAGAAATGCCCCCAAATTTGACATCTATGCGCAAGACAGCTCAAGGCATTCTTCTCGAATTGGAAAATAGCCGTCAGCATTATCATCAACGAATACACAAAATGAACTGGGAACGGGCTATTGATTCTGCTTTACAAAACAGCGTTCGTCAACTTGTTGAGATTGATGGACGTGAGGATGGCAACGATATCGCTTGCTTGACTAGAGAAACAGAACTCTTGAAAGCTAATGCTGCACGAGATTCATTCCAGTATGTCTTAGAGCAAGAAAAGGGTGTCGATGCGGGTGTTATGCAAGTGCTGCTCTCTGCCCAATTCGAGATCATGTCTTCGCTTAATGACGTTATTGGTATGAATGAAGAGGATGCTGTGCAACATGGCAAGAAGACCATCTCAAAACTTTTAGAAACATGTTCCACAGCATCTGCTTCAATAGTAAAGCCAGATGGGTCTATGAAGATTACGGAAAAATTCGCGCCTACCAAACGAGGTACACCGAAACGCAACAAGCAGATCAATCTCTCTTTTGATGGGGAATCACAATCACCAATTAAAATGCCTTCTCTAACAGTGGCACCACAAATTCCATCTCCGATGAAATCCTCACCGAGGCGTCGTAAGATAGTAGTAGGTAAGAAAGGACTTTCTTTCACACCGAAGAAGACCTCCAAGCGAAGTGTCAGATGGCGAGACGATGACGATTCCGGAGCCTTGGCCGAGTTCGAGAAAACACCCCAGAAGTTTGAATCCACTCCGGATGTGTCCTTGGTCGAAGAGACTATTACCCTACCACTCTTACCATCATACCTAGGCGAGGCTTCCACGGACCCCCTGGGCTCGTCACCTGTTCCCACGGCTCCACTAACTTCCCTTGATATTAAGCCCAAGAACAATCGATTCCAAGCAGGATTCCTGTCCAAAAAGCCCCACTCGGCTTCACCGCCTCCTCCAACAATTACCAATCTCTCCCCAACGTCTTCGGATACAGAACATTCTCCGTTGAGAATCCTCAAGAACGGTTTTAGTCCAAATCGATCCCCCCTTCGCGATGTAGATGAAGCTGCCGAGCCAGCAGGAAATAATTCGGGCGACGAAACTGAGAATTATAAAGTGGGAAAATTGGATGGCGTTAAGATTGGTATGGCGCTTAAGAGACATGGTAGTCTTTCAAGGTCAGGTTATAATCATACAAATTCTGAGGGTAATCAAAGAATCAGAAGAGCAAGAAGTCCGACAGCGGCTCAGCTTGCAACGAGCCCAAATAGCGAAAATCAAATGTTTACGGCTAGTCACGCGAGACGGATGGTGAAGAGTGACAAGGGGGATACGTTGAGCAGTGTATTGAGTCCGAGAACGGCACCGGTAATTAAACATGGCCATAGTAGACGAGCAACGGATTCCGGGAGATCGGTGTCTGGAGGTCATGGGCATGGTCGGGAGGGTAGTGGAAGTCTGAGAGTTCATGCGGTTAATGGAGCTGCTGGTGGTAGTATTAATAGGGAGGCGAGAGGAAGAGAAAGTGTTATGAGTGCTATGGGGAAGGGTGGTTGGAGATGAAAGAATCAGGATTCGATGAATCATGTTGAGGTTAATGTGATGGTGCAATTTCCCTTTTGACAGTGCATCGGGGTTGGGTGGCGTTGGTGTGGTTTGGCTTTAGAGGTCTAGTTGACTTCCTTCGTTTACTCAAAATCGTACATAGTCTAAAGACGCAAGGTGTTGCGCGCGATTCCATTCTTGCATTGCTAGGGCGTTTGGTGTGGAGATATGAGGGATTGAAATGAATACTTTCTTTGTATTGATCAGCTACAAAGTTTTGTAATTGGAATTAGAGTTGCGGATTAGTTGGATTGAGATGAGCTGAGTGGGTAGATGTAAGGACGGTGGAGGATGGCGAAGGTTACTGATGATGATGTGTTGTTTGGAGAGGGGAGGTTGGAGATAGTAGTGGAGATTGTAGAGATTATCAATGTGAATATGATTATGAAATTTATTCTTTTTGGAAGTTGGTAATGTGACGTGCTGTGCTGTGATTTCTGTTGTGTTATTTCATGAGGTTATGTGATGTGATGATGTTCTTTGAGTTTGTGTGATGTTTACGTGTGGTGTCAAGGATGTATGTGAGTTTACGTTGTAAGGGATTAGTATTTCATGTGTTCAGACTGGAGAGTTAGAGACTTGGGGATTTGGAGACTCCTAGTTTTGGAGACAGGCTGTGATTATAAGTGCATATAGGAAGATTTTATCTTTGACAGTGAGGAGGTGAAAGATGATGGGTAGAGTGGGTGAAGAAGAGGAAAGAAGGAAGAGGAAATGATGTCGAATCACGTGATTATATGCACGCACAGAGATTCGAGGACAAGGTGGGCCCCTGAATAAGCGAGGAGGAGACAAGGAGAGGGAGGGCAATGATTGATTGATGGGATCGGAAAGGTTGAAGGTCGTGGGGTGGGTTTGATCTTCGGCGGATGAGATGAATGGATTGATGGATTGGATGCCGGGGTCATAGGTTGAACTAAGTAAATCTGAAGACGGGAGAAATAAAGCCAAAATACATATGGTTATCAAGTCACATAACATATGCAAATGGTACAATTGCAAATTAATAGTAATTCATTTTTCAAACTCGTCGCAAACTAAATATGTACCTTGAAGATTGGATCACAAGAGTTACGAGTAACTGATGAGAAGCAATCTAAAGGATCACCCTCGATTCAAGAATATGTATCCAGCCAATGAGATAACAGTAAATCCTTTTTGGGTTGTAAGAGAAATGTAAAAGTTGGAGTGTGAAGGGGCAGGAATGGTGGGGATTATTTGGATATGAGAATGGAAGGAAAGATTTGTAAGGTAACGAAGTATCATATCCACCAATCAATCAACCTGAGATAGAAAAAGTTTTATCCCAAAATTTCCCTAAACATATCCTGATCCCAAATAATACAAACTAATTCATCCTGAAAGATAGAGGTCACCGCCTCGCAGAAATATGAATTAGCAGTCTCAATCCAGGACTGCTCCATCTCAATGCCATTTTGATAATGGCTGTGAAGACAAAATCTTTGAACGTCCTTTCATTTTGGCGGTTTCGGATTTCGCCCATTCCGATCACTATGGATTACACCTGAAACTACGGGGTAGTGTGGGTACCATGACTTATGACCCTTGAGTTGTTTAGGCTGAGGGTGGTTTATGTTCGCATTGCAATGACCTACCAGGCCGCAGTATTTGCATCCACTGGCAGTCACTCCCCCACAGTTGTGTTCTGGCTCCCTTTTACCGGCCCCATCTCTAGTAATCTAAGGGGCCATACGCTGCGTGCATCTTATGTCTTGCGAGTTTGGATCTTTTCTCTCTAGACTTGTGGGTACTCCACTGTGGTAATATACATTATTCCTATCATTGTGGCGTGGATTTCCACAACAAACGGTTGAGATAATGGAAGGCTCCTCACACTTTTCATCAGGAGTGTAGAAAGTGCATATAGAATAGGTTCCCGCAATGGCTGGTATTGGAGATACATATGAGTCGGTGACATGTGTTAGAGCCATCTCTTGTTGTAGGCTTGGGATATTTGGCACGTCTCAAGAAGGGAACCTTGAAGAAGTCTCGGTCGCACTACTTCGGTGGCCAGGATATAGCAGGCTTGGTGTTAGGACTCCATACTGTCCGTGGGTTGCTTGAGTATGATCTTATGCAAGAGGTTGACGTGCTGGCGAAGTGCCGATGAATTGTGTCGACTGTGTCGGAAGTTGTGTTGAATATTCTCTTGATGCTGTGTTCATTTGTAGCCCAGCTGTATCTCGAGGATTGGAAGTTTGATAAGGGTGATTTTCTCTCGATCCTCGAACGCTCCTTGGTGGGCTGAATCTGGTTGGAGTAGCTTGTCTCTGATTTGGATTGAAATAAATCTCTCCTCGGTCGGATGGTTCGTCGGCATCATACAAACTACCCTGCTGATGAAAGAATACTGCTGCAATATGTTCTTCAGTTGGCTGGAAGACTGCGATATCAGTACGAGATGGCTCGGATCTCCGTGGCGGGGAGTCCGATGGGGATTTTATCATGGCTCTTTTCTTCCCTTGAGCCCTACCAGATGACCGCGCAGATCCCTCGGATAAATTTCTCGAAGATTGATTAGATCTAGGCAATTGTGCTGAGGGCGACAGAGTGCCTGATGCAGGTAGTGCACGTCCCGAAGAACCAGATTGAACAGTACCTTCTGACCGTTTCATAACTTCATAACATGGAATAACACATTCCCAAATCTTCTCTCTTCCGGTTGAGACAAGTTTGTCTCGATGCTAGATCGTATTGTCGACACAGTCCATTACACTGAGTGCAAAGATTCATTAAATTCGAATCATCAATCGGATTGCAACACCTCTCTCGCACGCTTATTTTTAACCAGCATCGAAATTGATCTTCATGGCACCGCGCACACATCCGTTTCCCGTTCGAGATGTCACGTCGATTAGGATACTGCCCCCTAAATGAGTTCGTGAGCTATCGAGGTATTGAGAAGATACTATATTCGGGATTCAGTAGTAATCGAAGGAGGGAAGTATGTCTGAGAAGTGATGTTTGCGAGTTATGAATATGACTAGGTCAATCACACATGACTATGCATCATCAGGACAGTGAATATATAACTTCTCAGTGGAACATCACACCATTATTCACATTACTTATTCATGACCCAGAGTAAAGCATTTAAGCCATATTTTCAGGTAAAGTCAAAAGTAATTCTGTCTTCCATAATCATGATCTTCAGTATGGAAGTGGAAGTTCGGAGCCTTTGAATTCGGTCGTCCTAAGAGTTCCGAAAAGCCAGAAAGAGAATAGAAAGCAAAATCGAAATGATTGACCCCGGTCTGAGTTAGAACCCATTTTCTTGAGCTTCCAAAGAACATCGACATAGGTATTAATTCCTTGCTCAAAGGACTCCTAAGATTTGGCAGTTTACTCAGGTAGTTATCTCGTATTCTAACAGTCATTTGCCTTCCAAAACTCATATTTACCAAGTTTTGTACATTCGTAGGAGTCATGACCTGAAATATCGATTCATTTCTCTCAATTATTGCTTTCACAGGGACCGGTTGTTGACTTGCAATGATAAATATCCCAGATAATTACTTTATCTTTGAATCCACTCACACTTTACCACTCATATGATGACAATATTGAGTCTGTAGGCATTCTATGGACAGTCACTCATTGGTTTTGGCAATTGGAAACACTCACATCATTTGAATAGGTGACTCGCAAAATTTCGACATATAACCATCTTGGACTCCCTAGATTCTCATTACTCTATTCCATCAAATAGTCCATCAATCGGTCCTAAGAAATCTCCAGCACTTGATCTCAAAATCAGAGATATCTAATCACTAATTATGTCCTTAAACAACTTCAGCATCGGAAGCAGTGGCCGTGGCTATGGAAAACTTGATGAATATGGTCAACCTCAACGGCAGAGTTATGGTGGAAGTCAGCCTCGTGAGTCTAACTTTAGAAATAGAGACATCCAAGGTCAATACAAATCTGCCAGATGTTGAATTGAGCTGGACTCCAACGAAGGAATAGATAGCTGACATTTTCTTAGGAACATACCAACATGGCTCAGGTAGGAGTACCATGGAGCCTCCTCCTTTAAACCTGACCGAAAGAAATACTCCATCACCATATCCGACACATAACAACCCTCTGCCCCCAATCAGCTCGTTCCTAAGATTGGCTGCTCAATCATCACATCATCCAACACAGACCTCTAGTACTACGAGCTTAAGATCGCCAGCTAATTTCAACGTTCCTGCCGCTCGCTCGCATTATGGTACGACTAGTCAATCACAGCACTATCCAACTTCCGAATCAAGAAGTCGTGAGGCTTCTAACTCTCTGAGTGATACAAAACGCTTCCAAGAACTTGGCAGTGAAAAGTATCAACTCTCAGCTCCAATTCAACGATCCACTATGAAGAAAAGAGGCAACGAGGGCACGGATTTTATGCAGCATTTTCCGGCTGGTATCCCAACTTCAATGCCGCGTTCACCTCTTCCTTCAGATAGGCCAGAAAGAGATATAAGTACCTTATCGTCTAGACAGGCAAAAAAAGAGCAGTCTCGGAGAAGACATAAGGCGAAAGAAGGATCGAAATCTCGCAGTTCTCGTCCAATCGCATCGATGCCGCACCAACAGCCATTGAAAGCCTATTCCGAATCCCTACAACATTATCTCACATCTGTTGAAAGCCCACAGGCCTTTGAAGGCAACAGCCATCCGACAGAAAAGATGCCAGCGGATTTTGACATGGAGTGACGTCGGTCGGCATTTAAGGAGCGGACAAGTACGAATGTTCCCTTTGGGGCATGTCAATTACATCATGATCAATTATCAACCTGCGACTTTTCATATTGCAAGGCAGAGAAGCGAAATCGAGACAAAGAAGCGGTCCACTCTCTTAATGGACAATGTCGAAAGAAAAAAAAATGGTCACTTGTTTCCACTGGTGCCAGCGTCACACGGATGAACATTATCAATGGAGAAAACAATTTGCTAATTCAAAGTGTATCAAGGATGAGAAGTGGTTTGAGGGTCGCGACGAGGGTACTGCCGATCTACCTCTTGGGTATGGTACATCGGAGGGACGAAGTTTTCGCGAACAACACTGGGCGTAGGTGCCCGCAACACGGCCAAGATAAGACAATCTTGCTTTTGTGTTTCAAATCTTCATATCTTTCTACTGTTTTTCATTCTCTCTGGACATCTGCCTGTAGTTTGGAATGTAGGATCTAATTATTCGAAGTGCTACTGAAAGCACAGCAAAACTCTTGCAGTATCACCTTCGATTTATGCGGGGGCTATTTTGAGTTGGATATCCTTTTGTTATTCGATGCTTTTAAGGTTCAAATAGGTAGTTTTGATCGGCGGATTAGATATTGCTGATACATTATTGCGAGCAATTTGTATTTAGTCTCTACTGATATAATCTAATGTCTGTGCTGGATTTTATTTGCAATGTTCTGAGCTGCTCCCTCAAAGAACGTCGATTATTATATCCTTGTTGGTATTAATAAGTACGACTCAAGAGTGACTCATATGAGATATAAAAATTGTTCAGTCAATTAAACATAGTTCTTTGTTATTGGGACACTTAAATATATCTTGTTAATAGCACATTACAAAATAGTTTATAAAAAGATCTCTAATCCGGGACTCAAGTATCTCAAGTAATAGGTACTTTCAACTCAAGTGAATTAAAGAGCCATTCGAGTAGTTATTGGCTTTAATAAGGTTAGATATTCTAATGCACATCTAGTAGCTTCTGCTTTGTCTCAGACTTTCTGGTCATGACCCGATGAAAGCCATGATAATGGAACTTATGACTATGAATGTTGATATCACGTATTAGCGAGAAACACACAATAATATTATAGCATTGCACAGTATTAAAATTGGATAGCAAAATTTCTAAGCATGCAATTTGCGCCGTAGTTGAGATTCACTCGCCACTGAATATTCCAAAGTGGAAATTGAGGATGCCAAACAGTGCTCCCACATTGCCAGAATCTTGCTGTGTCTCTACTTAGTTACCGACCATTCCCAGATCAATGTTGTAAAACTAAGCATTCCTCAATCTGTAACTCGGCTACCTGAGGCATCTAACATTGCAGAATATGCTGGTAGGACAGGAATGTCACTTTTATGTTAACTCAGACTCTCTTAAAACGATGGAGTCTCACAGCCAATTTCTTAAGTACTAAACCTCAGAGCCTTGAGTTACTATCTAGACGGCCTAGCTCGCAAAGCAACGCATGTGCTGGCAATACTTATTAAGATCTCTTCAAGAGCTTGTATTCCTAAGAAAGAAATTTTCACAGCTTCCTATTCACTTTCCAGAAATCCACATGATCTTCAAATCTAGAGACAGGATCACGAGATTATATGCTCATTTAACTTGTCTGTATTCACTCGCAAGGTGGCGCAGACGGGAAAATTTGAAATTCGCTAAGATCGCGCACATTTGCAAAAAAACCCATTTAAGAGTTTCGTTTCGTCAGTACGGTTCAATTTCCTCCATCTTCATTCCACCTCAAAGCTTCTCGGCATTCGAAGCTTTGAATCGTTGCATTTCTTTTTTATTTCGAACAACAGCTTTTCCGTGCTTTCACAAATTTGTCTCTTACGCTGCCTTCTGTCTGTTCATACCTCTTTGCACGACGTAAAACGAACGATCTTCAATTCTCAATCCATCTATCAGCTTGTAATGGCGATAAGTTCGGCAACAACCTCGACCGCCTCTGAAAAACAAGTAAGTCCATAGTTCGACTCACACTTTCTGTATTCAAAATTATTTAGCTCTTTTGACTTTTAGCTAACATATATAGTCACAGGATTCAGATGGCGATGACTCCTTCGACCCTTATTCCTTGCCGGTAAGATCTATTCCTCACACGCTGTTACGATTCCTTCTCGTCTGCCAGACTATCTCAAGCACATTTGATTTCAAGTGAGGTGGTATCACAGTCACCGATCGAATTCGCAGCAAAACAATGGGGACATAAGCAAGACTTCTATTGGTCCCTTGGGACCTCAAACCTGCGTACACGGTGCCGGGGGAAGCTTCTCCTCGGAGGTTTGTGCGTTTTCAGCTATCTTATTGTGTGCAAAAATTCATCATGGTGTGGAGACCAGATCTGTAACGGGTCGAGGTGGTAGCTAATTTCCCGATCTGTGTGGCCTTCTGGCCGTCGGGGATGACGGCACTATTGGGATACACGTCTTCCCTTCGCACTGACCGTAGAACGAGCGGCAGATTAACTTCCAGGGAGTTTTTGCGAGATTCTGGGCGCGAACATTTTCATTTCAGTGTGAGATCTTACACATCATGGCACATCGCTGACTTGAGGTTTAGACAGATCGCTGGCTCTCTCAAAAAGAGGTGATTCAGTGGAAAGCTGGGGTACATCAGGACCAGTTATCAAGGCGACAAAAACAAGCGTAAGTTGTCATCTTTATGCCTTTTTGGCTCCATGGTATTGTCATTGACTTCTTATACACAGTGATGCATTCGAACAAATCAAAGTTATGCAAAAGCAGCTTGACATCAGTAATAGCATGGTGGCTTTCAAGCACAATAGGGAAGACAAGACTACCCGTCTTAATCTTTCCAATCAAATCAAGCTGATGGACCATCAATTGGATCACAGATACAGACTTGCTCTATTAGTTGCACAACTAGTAAGTTAATTCACCAAGCGCGACGTGGCTGGAATCAAAATGCTGACATTAAAACTCATTTCGATCTTCATCTTGTTTCTGTGTGTCTTGTTATTCTTCTACATCATGGCACTTTTCGATGCAGGTCACTACTATACATCGTTGGGCTTTGTGATATTCATTTTACTCTTCGCATTCCGGCTTATCTACAACAGCTAGTTTTTTCTCAATGAGTCTATGTGACTATAATGTATTGATGGACATAACGACTGGAGTTTAGGTGATTTGGTAATTAGAGAAAGAGAACCTGGGTATTCACTATTGCATTCAAACTGCCGCAGGTGCCTTTTTTTTTTCCTTTCTTCATATTAGAACTCTTTCGAGATAATATAAAACTTTCATCACTACTGCTGTAATCTATACCCCATTCATGAAGTGTGATATGTACAGCAAAAAATTCGTTAATGATTGTTAATTCACCACGGATATACAAGAACTCTAAAATATCGCGCATCAGGCGCTGTGCAGCAGCTTCCAAGCAAGCAATTCTGGACGAAGCTATAAGCATATGGCAACACACAGAACGGTTCTTTCACAAACAGTGTGACTCGGCAGCAATACCCAAGCTGTAGTTTAGATTCTTCAACCGAATTAAAGTTAAAACTTGGCAGAAATTTACATCTCTGACACTCAAGTAGGCACTAAATTTTTGAATATTTCTCATTTTACAAGAATGCTTTCATCGTCTTTTCAGATTAAAAACGGTGATATGGTGCTTCTTCAATCAGCACTCTATCTTGCTCATCTACCGTCGTCTCGACCTGATCCAAGTTTGGGTTACCGCAGAATGCTCATCCCACGAATCATGTACTTGGTTTTCAATACATGAGCACCAGATTCCCGCTTTATATGAGCCATACAACTTTTATCATCGATAATACGAGCTTTTCATCAACACGCATCCAGACGCAGTTTTGACTTGATCCCCTGTTCGATTGAATGTTTCTCAGATGGACCAAAGTCGAGACAATAGAACTCCTTATAATTTTCGCCGGGAAGTAATAACTAGCATCAGAGAGTAGTACACAAAGACAGATTCCAGCCTCTCATACTTCCACCTCTGCCGCTTCTTGGCCATCTCAGCCATCGGTGAATAGTAACTCAACACTTTCAACATCTTTCCAAAGCTACTCATTAAGTCATTTACTTAATGCAAGATTTTGGTTGTACATCTAGAAGAAGTTAAATGGTCCCAGAACCCAAGGTCCAGAACATTTAATCGCTGCTCACGCTAGATGATATCTTAATACCATCGCACTACAATGGACGATTTAACTCAAAACATACATTAATCTTTCTGTACTGGAAATGCTTTGTGTATGATTTCTGGGCACTACTCTACCCTCTCATCTCAAAGATAGTAGAGCTCTTCGTTAATGCATCGATTGGAAAGCCCACAGAAACAGAAGAAGATATAAAGTATCAGATCATGGCAAGTTGATTTTGAATGGCTCCACAGGAATTCCCGTCTGATATTCAAAATGACTTATTTCGGGATAATATTCCGTATTGTCTATTAGCAAAAGACTGAGATAGTTAAGTAATTGGTCTGAAAATTTTATGAAGAATCATGATCATGACCATATTCATTGAAACATCAACAACTGCTCCTGTGATACAAAAGTACTAGTTCAATACAAACTTCAACAGTATAATCTATAGATCGTGATGATAATCATACTTTGGCTACGACACCGACCACTAAGGCCGTATGTGTATACGACAGCCCAAATAACCAAATTCCAATCTTCCGGAGCTCTTGCTGACACAAATGTAAATTTCCGAAGACAGAAGATTATTGGAGTATAATATGAGCAATAGCAGCACTACTGTCGCAAATATATTGATTGGAGTATCTATCTCCCGTACATCGTCGTACATTACGACCCCTGAAGCCTCGCGTAGCGCACATCAAGAGTCTTGACCGCACCCCTCAACCGCACCTCGACGACGCATAAGTATATATTCATTCTACCACCCACCAAGTAATTCTCTATTACAAAAATTCCATTAAGCTTTCAATAAGACAGCTCACAAATTACAACTCCCAAGTCACAACTCGTCTTATCATACAATCAAGCAAAGAGATGAACTGTCTTCGAAAGATCCGATCATCTAAAAACATGTCTTCATCAGGAATCCAACCCCGCACCACTGCCGCTGTTCGAGACACAGCTTTTCATCTAGCCGGCTGCAGCGCGTACATGGCCATCATATTTAAATCTCTCTCATGCTGTATGAAACACACCCCGCAATACCTCGTTCTCGTTGGACCGATCATTATCTGGCTCTTTATCTTGACCCTTCATCAAACTTATAAGGGACTCAAAGAGGTCATCGAGGAATGGGAGAGCGACGGGGCTATCGGACAGAGACCCAAGCAGGGAACACAGAGAACCGGGAAATCGAAGAGAAAGAATCATCGGGGTGGAGTTAAGGCTAAGAAGGCGAAGGGCAAGCGAGAGGATACCGGAAGCTCGAACTCTGGAGAGAACTAAGGGTATATCGATGGCTAGTTGTGATGATAAAGAATGATCCTTCGGACGACTGAGGATGGAGGCACCATGGCGTAGGAGCCATAAGTGACACGGTAGCTATCCAGTCATGACTGCACAAGGCTTTGAGACTGATGATGATGGGAATTCGATTTGAGATAGTATTCTTAGTACACAACTCCAAATGATATAGTTCCTGTTGACTTAATTAATATTCTCTATATTATCAGGTAAAAATTTGCTCTTACTCGATAGTCAGGATCTCATTTCTTCATATCCATGATGCCTCGATTGAATGCCTAATGCTAGCTGAACTTGTTATGTTAAGAATTTGTATGAACAAGTGACACCATTTTGTAGCAGAAAATTTGAATCTCCTATGATACTAGAGTGACATCTAAGCTGCTTCTAGTGTTTGGTTCGGAAATTTTTAAGTTCTGAATGGGCGGTCAACCGACATCATGTTGCTTACGTGGGTAGTCGAGTACAATTTCTTATCAGAACCACATCTGATGTCAAGATTTTGTGTTTGGCTGTACTTGCACTTGCCAAAATGAAAAGAGTTTTTCATGTAGAATGCTTTTGTGAATCGAGTATCAATTCTAGTATTCTTTGAATCATCATAAAATGTCATAATTTCAGCGAATTTTGACGAGATTTCAGGATTTTGGGGGCGATAAATATGCAGACGTAAGCCACAGCAGAGCCACTGTGGAAAAGTGGCTTGCGTATCGATTTATAAGAGCACGTGCGTCTCCTATGCACCCACCGCGCTTCATACCCCAAGTCGTCGCCCCTTTACAACATTTCAATCATCGAATTCCATTGATTTCCTCAGCATACTACCTTTAAGGACCTCTGTGAGAACCTGTGTGGAGAAACTATGAATTAACTCCAGAAAAACTTGACTCTTGGTTTCAACCCCGCGTTAGAGAGCTCACTACTTTAGAGCATGTTAGATCTCTTCTAATGTAAGATGGTTAAGATAGTTTCGAGACGGTTCAACTACTGCATCGTACAAATCTATATATTGATATGTCCTCTCACATTTTTCTTTCATCTGTAAAATTCAAACACAGTTGTCAGTCATACTTCAAGACTTCAATCGTCACAAACTTTCAACAATGCTGTACCCCTCTACCCCCGACTTTCGCCATTTTACCGAGAGCAACCGCAATATCGAAACAGGAATCTCGCACGCAAGAGGCGTCGAAGTTGTCGAATCCGAAACAAATTTTCTAACCCTGCTATTCCTAGTCTCAAACATCTTCGAGATTATATCAAGACAGCCGGAGACATTCTTAAGAGCTGGAACTATCATGCTGCCGGCCCCGATGACTCTGACATCGATGAAGATTTCGTCGATGAATTGAAATATTTCATCAACAGCTTTGAATATTTCGTTGTTAACTTTAAAATTCCGCCGATAATTATGGACATTTCGTTGATGAATTTAAAGATCTCGAAATAATATCTGCAGACGTCATCAGTAGACCAGACCTTAAAGAACGAGCAACCGAGTTCAAGCCCGAAGACTGCATCCTCGAGAGACTGCCGACTGAAGTTAGGGAGATGATTTTTGTTTTTTGCGGTCGAAGCACTTTCTGCTCGGCTGATCAGGGACCACGTCTATTGAAAGCACTTCGAGGCCAGAGACGAGCTTACACCCACGCGCTAACTACATTTGAGAGACTGAATAGTTATGAACTCGGCGCCGAGCTGAGAAACCATACATCCAAGATAAGCTATAACGTTCATGATATGACAGGACTCATGGCAGTCAACAAAGCCTCTCGAATTGTCCCATCTCAATTGAATTCGAATGATTTGGAATTGGCTGAATCCGACTTGAAGCTTACTCTGTAGTCAGTTACTGCATCTCCCCATAAGGACGAGGAAAAAGCTAACGTGTAGATAGTGGGCGTATTCACGAAGATCTGAAATATTATGGTGACTTTTCGGCTTCGACTCCAAGCACTGTTCTGTGCGGTTTAGTCCGACAACTACATAGCGCCAACCGTATTCGAGATGTGCAGTTTTCTCAAGAACTAAGCTTGACAAGAGAACGGAGTTCCCGCATTATCCTCTGCCAAGCCGATCAAGGCGATTGGACTTTTCTCAAAAACTTCCTCACTCTCGTCCCCTATCGAAGAGTCAAAAGAGTTATTATCCAATTACCGAATCCAGAGAACTATTGTGTTAATGCAGCTCCTAGATATGATATCTATTATCGAGACAATCATTATGAGAGTTGCCGCGCAAAACAAGACGCCTTTGTCTTAGCAGTGATCGAGTGTATCAATCAGAAAGTGGGGGTTCGAGGTATCGTACTTGGCCGATCAAAAGATAATCTTTCGGGATTTTGTATGTGGGAAGCTCCTGAAGGGAGATATATGGATTGGCATCGTGATGTCATAGAATCATGGGCATTAAGGGGTGGTTTCGGTAAGACTTTCCTTGACTACGAGAATAACTTCTTTGAACTCAGGGAGGATACGAGTCGACGTTGCTTTGTGGTAAGAAATCGCCACGAATAGAAAGTTTGTGGAGTTCTCACCAAGCAGATGTAGGATTTTAAGTTTTGTCTGTAAACAGATAAGTATGTTGTCGTTGACGTGTTTATTGCTTGTTATCAAAACAGTATAAGAAAAGAAGATACTAACGTGTTTTACGAGAGACAAGATTGAATTCTTTATACTCAGCTTCAGAATCCTACAGCATCTCAATATTCAGAATATTACTTCGAATTGATGGCTTCAAATGTCCGGAGCTTATCATCTGGCATGTACAAAACGGCATTTGTGCTACTTTTTATTGTACAAATAATCACAAAATACAAAAGAATTCGAGGATGGAGGACTATTCTTACTGAGGATATAAACTATGATTATCTTCCAAATAAATCATTATTCTCCCCAAAACTTCTCTCAATGTCGTGTCACGTGTTCCTCGGCAATAAATCCATCACTCGGCATTTAGTTCCCCCTATTAGTACCCTAAACCACTGGCGTGTAAGCGGTTGATGAATTAAAGAAATTTTTCCAATAGATTTTCACCACGCAATTAAAAATTTCCGAATACTTTTCTCGAAATTATTGTACTGAATTACAAATTTGCATCCAAGACTTTGGGACTATGTTTAAACGTCAGAACGCAATACTATATAGATACAAATCCATCGACCCCGCGCACTTATCGTTGGCTTCTTCTTACGGACACTTTTACTTTAATACGACTTCGATGATCAAGAATTGAATGCCTGGAATAGGGACTCAATTCGTCTAACTCCGGTTATGCATCATCGATTTGATTCTGGCGTTCCACGACGAATGCGGTTTGCCACATCTACAGTGGTCTGTCTGTCTGTCAAATTTTTACATTCTTGGCTTGCCTCGAAGCGGGTTTCGTTTTTTTACAGTTCCATATCGCAAGCACCCGAAATAGAAATCAATGACAAAAGAGACGGGATTCAGAGACGATAACGGGGTCATACCAATGACCGGAAATAATATCAATCATCGTCAGAGCTACCCCGCACAAATCACAAACTCAAAATTGACAATTTGAATATAACCGAACTCTTGAAATCTCTCGAAGATTCACCGACGCACGGAACTATACCTTAGGCTCGGTTGCCATTACCCGATTTCGAAATACCGTGGCCAGACTTAAGCGACATGTGCTTCTTGCCACTCAAGCCACAGAAGCTTAAGCTTACCAACATTAGTCCTTGCGGGTTTATTGAGGAAGAAGCCAGGTTCAGAGATTCGGCGATGGGAAAGGAGTGGAATACTCGATGATTATGAGCATTCTTGTTCTCAGCGCTACGATTCAGCACCCACACCACGGCGTCGCCGCTCGAGACGCCTCTAGCGAGGATGCACGAAGAAACATGTATAAGTCAAAGGCATCGTATTTTGTCAGTTAAATGGGATCTTGGTAGTTAAAGATGATGATGATACACGCAAGATCAACGTATTGCCGACTTGAAAGATCTGTGAAATGTCTTCTCTGCCATGCTTTTCAATCCACGTTCTTTTCTGCTACGTAGGCTACGCAAAAATTATTCACCCTCTCCCCCGCAGATTGCAGGTAGTCTGCTTTGCAGAAAATCTGTCAAACCTTCCCCTTGCTCCGTAGGTACCCTACCTAGTACATGGAATCAGCCCAAATTCTACCTAGATACTCGAGCATGCAGGGGTAATTTCTCATTCTAGCACAATTTGTCAACCATTGAACTAATGATGTGCGACCTACGAGGTCATAATGTGAAAGGAAAACAGCTCTCAAATCATACATCTTTCTTTTCACTCCCACCAGACTTCACTTCAATTACCCGTTGTGTAGTCCGCTACTATATCTCTACATTATCATAAACGTTATCAAGAAACACATCAGTTCCCAAGGTTTCTAAGATTCATAAATTATACTTAACATTATCTTCCGAGAGATACCCAAGTAGGAGAAAGCGTTCTAGTAAACTTTCTCAGAACATTTGACATAGCGCTGATTAATCAACCTATCTGAGGCGATTTTCTTATTCTTACGGATTCAGATGTCTTGAGCTTAGCTTAAGCTATGGGAGTGAAAAGTCACTTCTTCAAGTGAAGGTGGCTCTTCAATTCCTGTTGTTATTACTCTAAGTGGGATTTCGTTAGCCGAATTCAATATCATCAGCCGCAGGCAGAGGAGAAACAACTCATTGAGGCTGAAATATGCTGTCAATTAATTGCTTGCTAGATACCTGGAGGTTGTCATCGTTATGCTAAGTTAATTGATCACTATAATCTTTGAGATGGCAATTGGTGGATATCAAATATGATGTTCATTTGAAGGGACAAAATGTATTTTGGGAGAATGTTCAGATGAAATATTTCCTAGCAGTCGCCTTTCATCTGCCCCACTACCACTACCACTCGTTGTATGCCGAACATCTCTACTATTAGTGTTTTCACATGTCAAGACTATCTGATGAAGTTTCCTCTCAATGGACCTCCGGGTAAAACCGTGATCATCTACTAGTCAGTTTGCATTCTTATTCTAATCGCCGCTTTTTCGACGGGCTAGGCAAGGAAACGTCAGAGTCGTCGATTTCGTCTACGTCCCACTAGAAATTAAAGTTAGTATGTGTATCAATTCTGCCATCTCGTGCAAGACTCAAGAAACCTGTATTAGAAACACAACTTCCCCAATCAAAAGTATATTTTGAATCTCTCAAACTAAGGAAAACACAAGATCTGTTTAGAAAACAATTTACAGATAGTTCCTCATTATTCAAAGTTGCATGATAGAAGTGATCAGCTCCCATCGAGCCCAATCTCCCAGCTTCAAATAGAGAATTGGCATTAAAAACCAAATAATTCTCAAGCAAACGTTCAATCAACCCCTGCAACCTATGATCTCCAGCTAATCCTCGATAATACGCTGGAATTGTGATATTCCTCGGAATTGGAGTACTCAAGATCTTCAAATGATCCGGATCTCCCGCACAAGACATCAAACATTCATCTGTTTTTGGAGGAGATGGCCAATGACACGATCACGCATGGTTTCTAGTACTTCATGAATCTTCGGATTCATGTCACCGGGAAATGTCCATCGTAGAGAATAAGACCGTAGGGCTCCGGCTGTGAGGCCTCGATGTCTCCTGCGTTGTGGAAGGCGCATTCGCGGAAAAGAGTTTTGTTGCGGAAGGTGTAGGCGAGCTCGATGAAGTGCTCGGGTTCTTCGCTGATTCGGCGAGCGAGTGCATCGCTATTGGTCTATATGCAGGCAGAGATGTGGTAGGAGATGATTGGGATACAGAGATAGTAGTCTGCCATTTTGATGATGGTTTCTAGTGTTCGAGGTTGGATTGCACATGTAATTCTGTACATAGCATTGATCATGAAACAGAATGCTAGGGGTTGGAGATCTGCATTTTCCTCACTGAGGACATTGTCGACGAGACTTGATTGCTGAGATCTGTTAGTTTTTTCTACAGATGATAGACAAGTGGAGTACTTACCATATTTTGTTTAGCAACAAGATGCCATTCTCCATCATCTTCTACTTCACTGACCCAGTCATATTGCCATTCCGAATCTTCCGACTGGTTCTTTTCGGGCGAATCGAGGAATTTGAAGAAAAAGTCCGAATGTTCCTTTAGAATGCTTGAGCGGACTTGTAATTCTGTGTGTCCGAACAGTTCGATGCGCATATCTGGAACTTGTCAACGGACATGAAACTTTTGGAATGTTGGTGTTTCTTCTTCACCGCAACTCATACTGAAAATGTTTAATTGATGTTGTATCCGAGGTTTGGTGTTCTTTTCGATGATGAGAGTTATTAGTGACATGTATTTCTGAGATTTATTTCTAAGCTTTATCGATGAGATGTATTAGTAACAATTATGATACTATCATAACAAGAAAAAAAGAGGTTGGAAGCCAGTGCCTTCTGAAGCTCATGTAGGAATGAGAAGAAGAATACGGTTCTCAGTCTCGCATGTTTTTACAAATCTGGAGACCGTATCTTCCATCTTAATACATTGTATAAATATACATACACACTTAATCCGCTGTATTATAAATAAACATTACAGAACGACTAGCTAGTAAACCGTGGACGAGTATTAGATACAGTCAGTGTTGAAATTAGTATACGATAGTATTACTATAACTAATATAAGAAGTACAATACGCATACTAATACGTATAATAACTAATAATATCCACATCTATAGATATTATAGCAAAGCAGCTATATTGAAGATGTACCTAAATACAGGGTTTCGCATATTTGTGCTTGAAATCTATGAATTTTGAAAGATCTTTTTCCTTATGAGACTTAAATCTATTCAAATATATAACATTCAATTGAAAATATATAAGTTCCGGTATTTCAATATATTGCTAGTGATATTCAATATTACTGAAATGTCCAACACTACCAGTGATACTCAATCCAATAATAATCATTAAAATATATTTCAAGAATTGAATACATATCACTAAAGTGGGGCGTATTCAAAATACGGAAAATACTCATTACAACGCTGAACACAATCTAGTACCGACATACACTACATGTAGATTGAAATCCACAGTCAGATTCCCATTTCCTAGTATTATACTAGCGATACTGATTATTTCACACTGAATACAAACAAGCAATTGCTTGAAGATAATCAACAGGCAAGTGCGTGAATACAAACTCAATATTCATCACATATCCCACAAAACAGTATAGTCAGGAATAAGCGAGCGCTTCCCTTCACGCACACCTACTGATTCCCCTAGGAGAGTTGATAATGCTATAAAGATATCTTATCATGATACAGTTACATAAAAAAAGAACATCTGTGGGAAAGTGATCAAGTGACGCTACAAGCACTAGTACCTACACACTTCCGCAGCAACTACATCAGAAAAATTCACAGTAGGCTTGTAAGTTCGAGTTGACAGTTATGGCACGACCAGTCATATATAACCATTTGACCTACCCGAGTGAGCCCCTCGTTAATCATATACACATCCCACTATTGAATATCTCTCTCACAATATCTGATAATTACATTTTCGTATAAACCGAAGATCTAGTAAAATATAGAAAGCAAGGTAACACAGACTCCAAGCGTGAGACAAGACGGAACCTTGTCACAGCAGCCTCAGAAAATATTCAGAAGGGATGTGTTATTATTCCTATTTTTCCATCTACTCTATCCACTTACATGCATATACACATCGCATCGCATAATCGCGTCGCATCAGTAGGCTACCTGTAGATAAATAAAATCGATCAAGAGTTTTCTCTAACAACAATATATATAGATAACTTATACGACTCAGAATATCCACTACCATCTTCGATATAATACTTGCCATATATTAACATAAAAAAACGGTTGAACGAGATGATATGATGCTTTTTCCATCTCAATTAAATCTGATTAAAGTATCAATATTGTTGGAAATCATATGTGTAGTACGTGTGTAGCACATGCATATCACTATAAAACTCCTTTTTTGGACTTCCTGGATATATAGATTATATATATATATTCAATATATTACTTCTTATGTGTAACTTACTATCTACTTCTGATAGGTTATAAGTATCGTGTTATTATAAACTTCATTTTATATTTTTGTATTCCCTGAATTTCGAATTCTTATTTCCTTATAGCTATTTCTACTCTTGATATTATGGCAAGCAAGATTATTGTTGATATAGTTTAAACAAAATGGGGAATATTAATTATTTTTAATGGTTATAACTGGATAGATTTCTATAAAGTTATTCGAATTGCTATGATAGTAGTATTTGTGCTATCTCTATGTATAGGGAAAAATGTAAGATTAGTGAGTGGTTGAGCTAATATTGCCGAATGGGATAGAAAAACAGGAATTGTATTCTCTATTATCAATTCCTATGTTATTTCTATGTACCACTTTTAACTTATGCATATAATCGATGCAGAAGATATTATAAGAATCTGGGTAAAACTCTTAATGTTTAATAATAATACAAATCTTTAATACGTTCAAAATCTCTGGTAATAATTCGCCCACGAGCAATTCAACCTTAAAATAGAGATGATTTAATTCTTCTTTGATTAACTTCTTAATTATTAATATAAATTATCTGCAATAATATAATCTTTATTTGAAATAAAGATCTATTTTTATCTTTTAAATATATTGTCAAATATAGAAATCTGGTAGATATAGTGAAACTTTATTATATCATTAAATATAAATATATGAGATATATTATATACCCTATAATAAATTAAAAGAATTCCTTAAGATATAATAAGTTATTTAGTAATAGCTAATATTGTATAAGGAAATATAAGAAGAAAAAGCAATAAGAGAGCTCGAGGAAGGGGTGGAAAAGAATATGGAGAATATTATGGAAATAAAAGAAAATATATGCTTGAGAAAGTTTATACTACTTTATCAAATTCTGACAAAGCTACTAAGACTAAATCTTATATTTACAAATTCTATAAGAAGAAAGAATACTGGCAAGATGTTTACTGAGAATATAATAAGGCTAGAGAAATCTTATATTCAAATAAAAAGACTGAAAATAATAGTTTTGTATAAATAGTTATAGTAGATAAATATATTAATTCCCTTTATCCTTATATTGTAATGTATGCTAAAATCCAAAATAATATATGGATTCTTGATTTGAGAGTCTTTTATTATTTCACTAACTTTATTGAAAATCTCTTTAATGTTGTATAATGGGGTATTCCATAAAGAGTCAAAACTATGAATAATGCATATTCTATGAGTACTGTATATAGAACAGCTATTATTAGAAACTTTATATTAAGAGATATCTGGTATATTAAGAACTTTCGAAATAATCAACTTATTTCAATTAGGATATTTGTTGAGATAGATCGAAAAGTTATTTTCGAAAAGAATTTAATATTATATTAAAAAAATAATTAGCTAGAAATAGCTGTAAGATATATTAATAATAATTATATTATTTGATAACCATTTATTTAATAAGTATATATAATAGATATAGATTTAGAAATAGGAAAGATTGATGTAAATAACAATAAAGCTGAGATTATATATTAATGCTTAGATTATTTCAATTATAATCAAATGGATAAGTTAAAGAAAGCTTCAAATAGATTATATTATATTAAAAAAAAGAAAAATACTAATCAAAAAGCTTACAAGCTTTATCTCACAGAGAGAATAAATGAGTATTTCAATAAATATATAGCTATTCATACATCTACAAAACTATGATATTTATATATAGATTTATTAGGGATTTAAGAATCTTTTGAAAATAAAAACAGATATTTTATTATAATTGTTAATAATATAATAAAAGAAATTTGACTTAAATTCATAAAAGATAAATCTGTAGAAACTATTATACCCATATTAATATACCTTATTAATCAAATTAAAAAAGAATTTAATTGTAAGGTTGCTATTATTAAAACAGATAATGGAAAGAGTGAATTTGGAATATCTTTTTAAATAGAGATTGAAAAGAAAGGCTTAATATTCGAATCCTTATCTTTTGGAAAGTACTCTATAAATGGAATAGCTGAAAAAAAGATTCAAAATATCAATACTATAGCGAAATTGCTATTAAACAAATTAGATATCAAGCCTAGTATATAGAAACTCATTGTTAAATATGCTGTATACCTAAAAAACAAATCACTTATTAAAATACTACTTTTTGGAGAGGCAGGAATACTTTCTATAGTAATAATGCTATATAAGATTATGTATAACAAATAGTCTGATTTTAAGAAGCTTAGAATATTTGGTTATAAAATGTAAGTTAGGAACTCTTAGTAACCAAATTTGATAATTAAGAAATTTGAGTTTAGAATATTTAAAGGAGAGTATATTATAATTAGAATAAATAAAAATAATATCTATCACTTTTTTAATCTTTATATCAAAACTATTATTAAAACAGTAGATACTGATTTCAATGAATATAGATATTTATTTAAAAAATTCAAAAAAAAGAATATTCTAGAACTATTTAGAATAAAAAGAAAAAAAAAACTTTATTTATATAACTTATAAAAGGCTATAAAAAGAAGGGTGTAATTGGTAGTACAAGAAGATATATATAAAGATATATATATTAATAAATGAATGAAAGCTTAGATTCAAAAAAAGCAAAAGAAAACTTGAATCTATTCTTTACAAATACTATAATAGTAATAATTATAGGGAATTGGATATTCAGTATAAAATGTGTAAATACCTTTATCTTCAAAATAGAGAATATAAGTAATTATAGAGATTCCAAGAGTTAGATTTATTCTAATAGCTACTTTGATTCAAAATACTCTAAATAAAAGTTATAAAAAATGATTAAGAAAGATCTTTAGTAATTAGATTGTTTAGTATATAGTTATATTACATATTACCTTCGCATATTCTAAAGACTCCTTAATTAGTAACTCTGAATTAATATTAAAAGAATTAATAGAACTTAAAGATATTATACAAAGGGATGCCCAAATATAAATAAAAGTAATTAGAAATAAACTATAAAGTCTTAAGAATAATAATATCTTCGAAATTATAAATAAAGCTATATCTATAAGCCAAAAACTATTAAATAATAAATATATTCTAAGAAATAAACTAAATCACTTTAGCAAATTGGCTAAAAGAAAAGTAAAACTAATAATCAAAGATTATT